TCAAGCTGCCCGTTGGCAGGGCCGCCGATCGCAAAACTGAGGTCATTGCCAATGGGCTTGCTTCCATGTTGACATACTTGGACACCTCATCTCTTGTACGCTTGCTGGTTATGAAGAGCGTAGCAAGCTCCGTGCGAAGCTCGCCCGCTAACGGGAACTTTCTGTTCTCATCGGACCCCTTTCCCAGAAGCATGGGACGAAGCAAAGAAGCGTTCAATGCAGCCACGCGGTTATTTAAGAGTTCGACCGGACTCCTCATGAAGCGCTCCATGGCCCACGGCCTGCACGCAACCGTCTCTCGCGTACCACTCCGAGCCCGGCATGCCCGGTCTGCAGGTCGCCGGAGCCAATGGCAGCAGCAGCCGCAGTGTCCGGTAGAGCGCGATGTACATGATCTTGGGGGTCAGCGTTGTGTGCGGGTCGCACGGGATGGCCGTAGAAACGCGCTCGCGCGCGGGGTCGCAGCATGGCACGGGAGGCTGGAGGCAACGAAGGCAATGGCACGAGGTCTCGGACACGAGTACGTGATGCATAGCGTTGCCACTCGCCGAACTCGGTGTTCGCGTTGCCCTTGCCCCAGCCCTCCGCCACAAGGAGGAACCTTCCGTGCGCATCCTTTGGACGACGAGCTCGATAGCCAACTCATGCACTGCGCCGCGCAGAGACTCGCGCAAGCCGATGTGCCCACGGCCTTGCTGCAATCCGCGTTGGCAGGATCGTCGCTCTGCAAACTTGTTATATAGGTGACCTTTTGCGGCGGCTAGTGGGACGGACACTTGCGCAAGCCTTCGCACTGCGACTCGAGACTGCGTGTTCTGGTCTCAGTCTCAGCACCCGTGCTGGCGCTGAAGCCTGGCCACGTGACCCTGTTGCAACGATCCTGTAATCCGCTCGCCAGGCTCAGGAGCGCACGTACCCGAGCTCTCAGCCCGCTCCCGCCTCATCGTGCTCGCTCTCGAGGCCGGACGCCGTTGGAGTGCCGAGGCCGCAGGGTTCGTCCGCCAGTTGCCCGCATTTGCCCGCTGCAGGATGCTGCAGGGCGCGCTCCGCGCCTGCAACCGGAGCGCAGCCACCATCAGCCACTCGTTTGCAGTCACGCGAGCCTTTTGTGCCAGCCTCCTGGCACTCTCTTTTTTGCGAACGCTGGCAATGTCGATGGAGACATCCCACTGCTCAGCGATGTCTTGGCAGACTGCTCGGCCCCTCCTTGCCAGCCGCATGCCGTGACAGGGCCACCGTCCCCAGCCCAGTTCCCTGCCCACCGCCGTCTCGTGTGCTCTCCGCACCTTGTACCACCTGTTGGCAGATCGACCGCTCTGGACTTAGGAAAAAAACGCGCGCCAGAAAAAAAAAAAAAAAATACATCGAAACCTGTAGGTATTGTGTCGCGCTGGTTGTGGCATTAAGCCTTAAACCATCTTAAACCCTATATGGGGGGTTTACGATGTTAGGGGCAGTTTTTGAGATCCTACATTGGAGGTTTATTTTAGGGGTCCCCTATTTTCGTAGACCACCATCGGCCTTTTTGGGCATTCGAAGCCATAAAAACTGCGACATCCGATCCTTGAGCCCTGCGCACGAAGCGTCCCGAAATCCGCGACCCCGGCTTCAGCCATAACACAAGATGTCAGCACACTCCATAAGCATCCATAAGAAAGTCGTGGTTTGGATTGACGCTTCGAGAAAAAACGCCAGATGTGAGTCGTGGAAAGGCGGCAGGAAAAAACCAGACTAAAAAAAAAAAAAACTAACAAGAAACCCTGAACATGAAAGCCTCCGGCTCGCTCTCAGGAACACGTCCATCGTCAAGCTGCTTTGCCTCGAAAGCCACCTTTGAAGAAGTTAGACCTTGCTTTGGGCCGGGTACCCGAAGCTTTCGGGCTCGAGCTGCGTTTTTTCCAGTGAGGGGATCATTCGACGGCAAGATACGGCAAGCCGTGAACTAGATTTATCTAGCATCCGAAATAGATTCTTCGTGTCACTGCGCTGCCATTCGCCTGTCAGCCCCACCCTCTGCGTGACCTGCAAGTTTGTCCGGGGAGCCAGGCGGCCCCTGACACCGCCTGCCACCTTCCGCAGGCTCAGGAAACCTCTTAAAGTTTTCAAAGTGCGGCAGATCATGGACATATCGGGAAGGGAGCTCCTCGAGCGCTTCCACTTCCCCAAGACCCGGCGCTGCTACCTCGCCTTGGCTGCCTCCTGCGCGGTGGTCATCGTTTTGACCTATGCAGTGAGCGTACCGTTTTACCTCTTTTGTGGCCAGCCGGAACCTTGGCAAGGCCCCCTTTTGGATGTACTGCTATGTTTTTTTTGCAGGCGTGTCTTCAGAACGTTCTTTACCAAGATGGGCTAGTAGAGGCCTCATAATCCCTGCAGTCAACCCTCTAACTAGGGCCCTTTTTTTAAGGGGCTCAAGGGTATAACAGCCCATGCTGGTACAGAAACCCTAAACCTTAAACCCTAAACCCTATAGCCTATACCTAAACCCTAAAAAAACCCTAAACCACTAAAACACTAAACCCCTAAACCAACCGCAAGGAACTGGATCGCACGCAAGGCAAGGAGCTCCACGTCGTGAACTCCTTGGAGGCGCTCCGAGCTGCCCAGGCGAGCCAGGGGCTAGACTGCAACGCCGAATGTGACAGGGGCAGGTTTGAACATTATGTTGTTTTTCCTTACTATACCCTTCAATTTAATTGTTTAGGGTGTTTACTCTCTCTTGAATCCCCCATGTAATCCTTATCAATTAGCCAAGAAAATTTAGTTATTAGAGGGCCCCCAACACCCACCCAAGGTGAGGGGGCTGTGGGCAGGGAAGTCTACGTGGACCGCGTATGGCCCCATGTACTGCAAGTCCACTACCCTGAGAATCCGCCCCCTTCAGGGCCAGAGCTGTTGCTGGCTGGCACCGCCTTCCAGGGCATGTGGTGCAGCCAAGGGATCTATGAGGAGACTGCGAATTATGTTTATAATTTCGATTATATCTGCATGATGTTAAGCCCGTTCTGGCTTTTGTACCCGTTTTTGCGGGATCGGGAATTCCGCGAAATGCGGCGTGAAGTAGACGCTGGGCGATGCCAAGTCTACCCCATGGCTTTGGCCGGCGCCACTTGGCAGCAATTCGCCATGACGGACTTCATCAACGACCGGCTTGAAGTTTGGCGTTATTTTCCCTGGGCCGACCTCGGAGTCATTTTATTCATAGGATTCGTACTTGCGATTGTCGAGATTTGGCTGGGGGTTGTTGCTGGCATATTCTCCATACTCTTCATGTTCGTGCTTCGCCTGGCTTTCAGGATCCGAGCTTCCATGCGCTTCCACAAGCGTGTAGCTCTGGGTCGTGCTGAGCTTTTTGTTTGCGCTGTGCCAGGGGCAAATCTGGTGTCCATCGTTTGCGATGGCCGCGTGTTCTTCTACAAAAACATAGGAGACCTCCCAGCTCAAGTCCCAAACCGGCTGGGTTTCAGTTCCATGGCCCTTGCCAGCACGCAGCTGGTTGCGCTCAGAGACTCCGACAGCTCCGAAGAGGGAGGCACGCTCAGCTGGTACTTGAAGGTCATCTATGGTTATGCACGATCTCCACGCGGAGATGGGCCTTGGAGCGTCGGATCGAAGCTGTTCCCAGTTGATAGCGCTCGTGTGCATGACTTCCAGAACTGGCTTGCCGACCTTGACAGGCGGCAGCTCTTTCGCTGCGTGGGGGCTACAGCCCAGCAGCAGAACATGGTTCAACCGACTCGTGCGGCCTTGCTGACGCCCTTCCACATACCGCCTGGGGACATGCAGACGCCACTGAGCAGGAACAATATGGTCTTCACTGCCGATGTGCAGAGGGCGGATGATCCCCTTTACAGGCTCTCACTGATCTCCATGTCAGGCGAGCAGGCACAAAGCTTCAAGTTCACTAAGCAGGACACGCTGGCGGATGTTCTCTACCGAGTCGCGAGCAGGCCAGATTTCCGAGACTATCAGGTTAAGATCTTCCTCAGTGACGGTACGCAGCTAGACAACATGGACCCGCGCATGACCCTTCCGAAGCTTTGCGAAAGGGCGGCCCAACCAATGGTGGACCCGGCCGAAACTTGACAAGTTGAGTCCCAGAACAGCAGAAAGTCGCGCGGAGTGAATCGAATCAGCCATCACCGGTTTAAGTAAACGACTTACTTGGAGGTTCATGGTGATAACATTTAATAGCCAAGCATATAGCTGTCCTTGTAACCCACGTATAAGCCCCTTAAGTGCCCTGATATGGCTCTCACTGGGTTATAAGATGTTATAATAAGTGCTAGTAGGATGTAGTGTTTAGTGAGCCTTGCTTGAGCCATCTGCAACGGCCTCCCGGGTTGTCGTCGTCATACCAAAGCAGACCTCAACTCCCAAAGCCTTCGAACCCCTGTGTGAGTCGTGCGCGGGCGGGTTTGTGAGTTGAGGTTTAGGGTCTTTGGGTTCAGGGGCCCTTTCAACCCTAGACCCTAGATAGGAGGGATTGGGGGTGCCCTATATTCTAAACCTGGCGAGCAAGAACGTCGGTCTTTGGCGACTACGACACCCATGACGCGGTTGACATGGTTCTAGGCAGTACACCGCTTTGCACCTTCCATGCTCTTCCCCTGGGCTCGTTGCCGGCCGCGAAGACCCTGAACCTGAAGGGCCGAAAAGGGCTTTTCGGCCGACGCTGCGGTTTAGGGTTTAAGATTTCGGGTATTTAGCTTTTAGGGTTTAGGGTTTAGGGTTTTTAATGTTGGGCAGGACGATCTCTTGAAAGGTTTCGGCATGGAAGGGTAGGGAAGGGCGACCTGTTTGGTCCCTGCCTCGGTGCTTGACAAACCATTCACAGGGTCAGGGTTTCGGGTTTAGGGTTTCGGGTTAGGATTTGGGTTTGAGGTTTAGGGTTTAGGGCTTAGGGGTTTAGGGGTTTCGGGGTTTAGTATTTAGGGTTTAGGGGTTTAGGGATCGTGGCTCCGGAGCTACTTGGAGGCGTGAAGCGCCTTGTTGGCACTGAGCAGTCCGCTGTGCTCAACCCTACCAAGATGGGCGATGAAACCCTCGAATCCCTTGTAAGAAGGCCCTTTCTAGGGTTCATTCTGGGGATTTTAAGGCCTAGTAGCCCATCCTGGTACCTCTTGCCTCTCCTCGCTATGTGAAAGTTGATGGAGCAAGGCTGAGGTTTGGTGCGTTGTGGTGTCTAAACCCGAAGCCCGAAACCCTAAACGCTAACCCTATAAACCCTAAACCCATAGCATGTCACTTGTGTATATACAATACAAGGCGTGCACAGGCATGATCTTGGTCAAGTGTGGCACGATCGCAACAGGTCAGTGCCAACAGCATGTCATGGAATTGCGTTGCGTGCATCTTGCCGCATCCAACAAGCCGCTGGTCGTCGTGTTAGTCGCACTTTTAGAGCCATATGTGTTCATGATACCGGGAGCATGTCTGATGCGAAGCGACAGGTAGGAATCTCAAAGTCGAAACGCGCGCTTAAATCCCACAGCCCTGACCCCAACACAATCTAGCAGGCTACAGACAAGTTACGCCGAATGTCCTCCCTGTGGCGATAGTTTCATGGCTTAATGTCAGCAGCCGGGCGCCTCACGGCGCCACCTTCACCAATGTGCGGCGCCTACCGGGCACCCTGCAATCAGCTTGCAATGCTGTGAGGGCTGGCGCATACTTTCACTTTGCACCAAGGAATGCGCGTCAGGACTTAGCAAATAAAACCAACGAAATTGGGTGGCTATTTAAGGATCTAAAGCTCATTCAGGGGCCCCTGTAGAGAAATCATCAGCAACACCACTGATGATCGCGTTGCATCGGGCCTTTGAAAGGAGTAATGCTTGCTGTGATAGTATGTCGAGGCGAATTACGTCACCAACCTTGAGCCCTGAGCCAAAGCAAAGCAGCCCCCCCCCAATTCCACGCCTAGCCCTGCCCCAAAGTGGAAACTGCGATGATTGCTTGCAATCCGCATAAAAAAGGCCCCATCAGGGGTCTTCTTATTCAGGGATCACTTGGCGCTTGAATGCTTGAGGCAAGTGCCACATCCAATGGCCGTGAATGGCTTCCGGTGCGCGTCGACCTGTGGCATGTTCCCGATGGCGAGGCACCTCTGTCCCTGGCCACTCCATTCCAGGATGGGCTATTAGGCCTTTAAAATCCCCCATAATGAACGCTATAAAGGGCCTTTTAAGGGATACTAGGGTAAAAATAGACCATCCTGGGTCGTGCTAGTGACAACAGTGCTTCTGCCATTCGGGTGTTCTTGGGGTCCTTCTCATAAGGGAATCCTACTGTTCGGGGTCTAGATCATAGGGGGGGCCCTTATTTTCGCAAACCCCCCATTCCAGTCATTGCGCCAGGTGTGCGCGGGATAAACTTCATTGGAAGCACCAATGGTTTCGGTCCACCTCGCCGCACCCGTGGCAGGCATTGAGGTGCGGACCGGGCTGATTTGTTTAAAGCTGAAGGCTCCAATGCAGTTCCTTTTTTGGGTTAGTTATAGGGGATTCTATGTATAATAACCTAAAAGGGTACTACATAGGAGCCTTCAGGTAACACACACTTGTCAGCGACATGTGTTTTCGCCGATTTTGCCGGGGCCAAGTCAAGAGGGGTGCCACATTGCAAAACCTGTCCCATCAAAATGAAAGTCGCAACATGCTTCCTTGCGCAAGGACTGTGGGTTCAGGCTGCGCAGCGGCCGTGTTCCCAGCGCATGTGTTTGCTGTTTCTGTTTTCTCAACCCTAAAGCCTAAACCCTAAACTCTAAGCTTGGACGCGTCTCAGGCAGCAGCGGCCGTGTGCACGGCAGCAAATGCCCAAAGCTCGCTTGGCACCATCATCAAATGGCCAAAGAGGGACTGCCCGACACTTGCAAACGTGTTTGGAGGTTCATGGTACCCAATAGCCAACCTATGACCCACTTATAGCCCCTTAAGTGCCCCAGTATGGTTATAATTGGGATACAAGTACAGTTATATTTGGGTAAATAAGCACCATGTACCTCTTATCCCAAAGGGTCCATGTGCCTCTTTATCATCTTCTTGGGCCCGGAAGTCCTTATATAGCAGGTACTATAGAGTATCTCTATTTAGGTCCATGGACCCTTGTAGCCCTAAACCCTAAATCCTAAACCCTAAACCCTAAACCCTATCGTAAACCCCCCTTTGGCGCAGGAGATTCGAGGATTGTTGCAACAGCTCAAATCTTCTGAGTCGCTAGCTCGGGCAGCGTGCCACATGCTTGGAGGTTCATGGTACTTATGAACCTAGGGTTTAGGGTTTAGGGTTTAGGGTACTTCATAACCAAGCCCCTGATTTGGGGTATAATTGGGTGATAAGTACAGTTAGTATTGGGTTAGTAAGTACCATGAACCTCCAAAGTGGCTTTGTATGGGTGAGGTCCATGCTTCTCTCTTGCGAAGGCCAGTTTTGGAGAAGTATTTAGAGTATGCCGGCGACCCTTGGACGACCGACTACGCAGAACTGCGGCCTCTTATGGAGGACTGAGGTTGCGAAAGTGTGCTGCCCACAAGGCTGGCTGTCAGATTGTATGAGACGTCACTGAGACGTCGGCAAGGTGCAGTTCGACAAGATATCTCATGATTCCGTGGACAAGCTTGAAGCATGGAGGGAGAGTGGAAAACTCGCAGAAGTGCCTGGAGCTCAGCCTTTTGCACTTTTTTGTTGACGAAGGTGCTATGCATGCCCGGCACTTGCACGTCGCTTCAACTTGTTCCAAAACTTTCAGTGTTGATGCCGTCCAGCGGAGGAAGTACACCGTCCAGCAGCTGAAGCGCGGACGTTTTTTTGCATTGGTGACATGCGATGTCCACCAATGCGGCTTCGTTGCCGGGGCTGGTCTTGCAGTTGGCAGTGACTAGGTTGTGCTTTGCGGATAATTGTGCATTTTCCTCCTTTCCTTAACGGGAACCCAAAAAAATCTTTCAAAGGGTTTACAGCACGACCCAGGTCCCTAAACCCCAAACCCTAAACCCTAAACCCTAAACCCTAAACCAGGTGAAGATGCAAAGCAATTGGCTGCCCAGCAAGCTTTGGATCGGCTGTTTTTCCCAGACCAGCCCGTCCAGGACCGGGGCCTGTACCGAAAGGCTCCTGCGTAGTTCCTTTTCGGTTTAGGGTTTAGGGTTTAGGGTTTAGGGTTTAGGGTTTAGGGTTCAGGGCTTAGGGTTTAGGGTGACAGGAGATTCGGCACTGTGCCAACACAATGCGGACGAATGAGGTTCACTCTGGAGCGCGCTTACCAGCAATTCAGGCAGCTGAGACGCGGCTCGGCGCGCAGACAGCAGGGCGAGCTCGAGTTTTTCTAACAGACGTACCTGCAACATAATACCCTATAAACCCTAGACCCTAAACCCTAAACCCTTACAAATATCTCTGGGGGCAGGAGGGTCGGGAGAGGCCCACCGCAGGGTCATGAGCCTGCCCTACAAAATTCTGGGGCCGCCATGCTTGAGAACTTACAGCGCCATAGTTATGGAGGTGCTCCCAGCATGGGCAATTAGGCCTGAAAAATCCCCTCAGCAGCCCTATAAAGGGCCCCTTTGCAGGGGTTTTAGGGTATGATAGCCCATGTAATTAGGTCTGGGACATGCACAGCTATTGTGTTTGAACTATTTGTCCACATATTGTGTTTAGGGTTTAGGGTTTATGGTTTAGGGCTTAGGGTTTAGGGTTTCGGGTTAGTGAATCTCAGGCTGGTGGCCTTGGATGGCAAGCTGGAGGATGTACACGTCAGCGCCTTCCAGCCCTGCGGAAAGGCATGGCAAAGTACCCCCTAAGCCGCTGCCTCAAACCCTAAACCCCAATCGCCAAGTGGGGAAAGGCATGGCAAAGTACCATAAGCCCCAAACCCTAAACCCTGAGCCCTGTGGAAAGGCATGGCAAGCTGCCATTGCTTGCAAGTGCTTCGGTGTCCACGTCGTGGGGCCAGCTGCGGACTACGACCGCAATGCAGCTTGGCAGCGAAGAAACGGCAAGGCATTTACGTTTTCTTTTGGCGAAAGCATGGCATGTTTCAGGGTTTAGGGTTTAGTGTTTAGGGTTTAGGATGTAGGGTTTAAGGTTTAAGGTTTAGGGTTTAGGGTTTAGGAGTTAGGAGAATTTCACCAAGGTAGCTATAGCTTTGGCAGCCGAAACATTTATGAGCCGTTTGCGCTGGTACATCCGCGTCCCCTCTGGCGACCCGCATGAGCCTGAGTGTCTTGCCTCCAGTTCTCATGGGTTCCCCTCCCTCCATACTGGATTTTATTTAGGGTTTAGGGTTTAGGGTTTAGGGTTGTTTAGGGATGTTTAGAATTTAGGGTTTCGGGTTTAGGTTTTAGGGCTACGCCCCTCTACGCTACCCTCGCCCCCGGGGGTAGTACAGAGGGGGGTAGTACGGGAACCCATAAAGTTCGTGGACACCGAAGATACCAGGAATGCAAAATCAGGTTGCCAAAAAGCGGCATCCTTAATGCGTTTTAAGGTCTATTACTTACTTAAGGGGCATCATTCTTTGAATTAAGGTCTGTTCCTTGATAAAGGGGTATTGGGCTCTCTGTGTGCATTCAACACACGATGCAAAAATGCCCATGTTGAGCTTGCTGCAGTTCGGCTTCTTTTGCATAAACCCTAAACCCCCTAGCCCTAAACCCTAAACCCTAAACCCCCTAGCCCTAAACCCTAAACCCTAAACCCGCAAAAAAGGATGTGGAGCCAGACATGGAGCCAGCGGGAGGTGGCTTTGGCCGGCTTCAGATTCATTGTCATGAAAGCGAAACCCTGAACCCTATGAATCACCTTATAAACCGTAGCCCTAAACCCTAGCCCTAAACCCTAAACCCTAAACCCTACAAACCCTATAAACCCTATGAATCCTAAACCTTAAAGCAACCAAAAACTCCCAGGCCTCGATGGGCCAACCCTGGAGTGGAAGGACAAGCGTCCTGAAGCACGAAGTGCTTCGCCTTTCAGCGCTTGGGGGCCACATGGGTGGCGAGGCTGGGCAATGCAGCGGCCATGCTTTGGGGCCTAGGGTTTAGGGTAGGGTTTAGGGTTTGGGGTTTGGGGTTTGGGGTTTAGGGTTTAGGGTTTAGGGTTTAGGGTTTAGGGTTAGTTGGGGTTTAGGGTTTCGGGTTTGCTGAGCTTTTCATCCCTGGAATGGCTTCCAGGACGAAGTGCGGCGACTGCTGCCCACAGAATACAACTGGAAGCTGTGGCAACGAAGTTTAAAGTCAATCCAGGACAGGAGATGCAGAAGGCCTCTGTCCTAATCGGGGTTTAGGTTTGAGGGTTTGGGGTTGGTGCTTGCCACCGGGTGTAGGGTTTAGGGTTTAGGGTTTAGGGTTTAGGTGCAAGTTTTTTGGGCCAGCTGTCTCCTGAATTGACATGAGCTGGGATCTGGCAAAAATCAATTGAATTGGCCCCGCAGCCCGAGACCCCAATCCTGAACCTTAGACCCGAATCTACTGCCGTATCCATCGGCGCGCAGCGGACTTCGTGCGCTAAACCCGCCTGCACCCGGCGAAGCATGTGGGGGGGAAATTCGGGAACCTGAGGGTTTAAGGTTTAGGGTTTAGGGTATACAGTAAGAACCTAAACCCTAAACCCTAAACCCTAAACCATAGGTTTGACTGGGGCAGGTGGGCCGCTGAACAGCAAGCCCAAGACGGCGCCGAGACGTCCACGCCCACCAGCCCAGCGGTGCCAGTGAGGCAGCCCTAAACCCTAAACCCTAAACCCCCTAACCCTAAACCCTAAACCCTAAACCCTAAACCCTAAACCCTAAACCCCCTAACCCTAAACCCTAAGCCCTGAGCCCTAAAGAGGTTCTCTTTATGATGGCATCTAGAGTGCTGGCCTCATGAAGGCGCTGTTGACGCGTCTTTTGCGAGGCTCTTCCACCGTGTCTCCGAAGCGGATGACCCGCGACGCGCTGATATTCGTGGAAAGCTTCCCATCGAACAGATTCGGGACAGCTTGGGGGAGGTCCGCCGGCGAGCTTTGCGACTGCAGGTGATGTTCGCTGTCATCTCTTCTTTTGGGTAACTCGCACACTTTATCGAAGCATACAGATGCTGGATCCTTTTCCTGCCCTAAGGGTCCATGTAACCATAGAGTATATTCTGGAACTATTATATGGGAACCCCTGTAAGGCCCAACTATATGCTATATGGGTACAGGGACCCTCAGGGCTGACCTATTGCTTGAGCCGCGAGGTGCTCAACTCGTCGCAAGTGTTGGTTGTATCTGGCGGCACTGGAAGCGGCAAGACAACGCAGCTGCCGCAACTTGCTGGCAATGTCATGTTCTAGGGTGCTGCTCCAGAAGCAGCATGCAACTTGGGCAACCATAAACCCCCTAGACCCCAAAAAAACTCTAAACCCTAACCCTAAACCCCCTAAAGCCCCTAAACTCCCTAAACCCCCTAAACCCTACAAGGCAGTTCCTCCTGGACGACTGGGATGCAGACCGAGCACCGAGGCGCGTCTTCTTTGTGTTTTGTGGAACCCAGCCGGCTGCAACCAGATGGAGTGCCTGCTTCTCCCTTGGGACCAAATGAACCCTAAAAGGGTTTATGGTTAGTTATATACCTTAATTAATCTAGGAATATGAGTATATATATATATATGTATATATATATATATCTCTCTCTCTCTCTCTCTCTTTCTTCTAGGTCTTGAAGGGCTGTTCTGTTTACCCGCTGTACCACCTCTGCATTTGTCATGAGCTAATCTTCTGCGTGTTTTGGGGTTTCGGGTCATTGTAGCCGTATCGTCGGATGTCCGCCATTTGTCTGCGCTGCCTGTTCCTCCAGGATCGTTGTCACACAGCCTCGCCGGATAGCTGCCATCTCGGTAGCGGAGCGTGTCGCCTGGGAGCGTGGGCAGGCGGCCATGGACTCAGCTGGGTGCAGCATCGTGCAGCACGGGCTTTTCCTTGCAATTCGTTCCTAGGCTCGCAAGCAACGCGCATGCGCGTGACTGGTGCCTTGAGGTCGGACAGTCTGTTGGATATGCCGTGCATGGGAATGCAGTCCGGCCATCTGCCCGGGGCTCCATCGAGTTCTTGACTGTTGGGACGTTGCTGCGACGAGCAGTGGACGACTCATGCTTGCGGAATTGCGATGTGGTCATTGTCGACGAAGTCCACGAGCGCGACATGCTGACTGACTTCCTTTTGGTGCTGCTCCGCGAGGCAGCGGGCCTGGCATACCGCAAACCAAGCAGCACACGGCCATCAGCCCCAAATCTGCGAACACACAAGCAGAGACACTGCAAGAGGGCATACTGTTGAAAGCATCAGCAACACACAGGGCCGGGAGGGGGAAGAAAGGGAGGGGGGTAACAAGGCTGCCGGAGCCCGTGTCTGTAAGCATCCGTAACAGGGTGCGTGTCAACGCCTTGGTAGGTTCTGCCAAGCAGACCAGACTTACGGCTGATCCTGATGAGCGCGACGCTAGATGCCGCCCGCCTACAGTTGGCTTTGTCTTCTGGGACTGGCCCCTAAAATCATCTTGTTCAAAAATATTCCATGTCCAAGGTGTCTTAGTGTTGTTGGGTGTGCCGTGCCTGCCCCAGGTACAGTCCTTCACCGACTACTTCGACTCTTGTCCCGTCCTTGAGGCACCAGTCCTGGCTTGCTTTTGCAGATGTCCCTATGTATACCCTATAATTACCTAAAGGCTCCTATGTAGCACCTTTTTGGGGTGGCATACTAGAATCCCCTAGAACTAACCCAAAAAGGAACTACACTGGAGCCTTCAGGAAAATAAACCCCACAATGTCCTACGCACTCTAAACCCCAAAGCCGCGCTCCCCGATCAGCCCCTTTAGTCTTTGAAGGTGCAATCTGAAACGCTCTTCCCCGTCGAGGAGGTTCATCTTGAAGATGGCTTCTTCACGGACTTCACCTATACGCATGCGCTTGTGAGCGTTGAGGTGCGGCACTTGCTGAGCGCAATATAGGGGTCGGAATAATTACGAATAGTATTCCCTTTAGGGTCCCTGTATATTTGTATGAGGAGAACCAAAAACCTTATTCTCATTATTCAGGCCCCTATATTGTCTGAGAGCGGTCGCGTCCCTTCCGAAATGCAAACAAGTAGGAAAACTACTAACAATAACAGTGATAACAAATAGCAAAAGTAATATTCAAAAAAATAAAATAATGTGAATTATGTTATCACTAATAGTAACAATAACAGTAATAACAATGATTTTCATAAAAACCCCCAAACCACCCTGAGCCCTACACCCAAGCCTGCTGTTCATAGTATTCATAATGCGAAGAATATGAATAAGATAATTAGCAACAACAACAAAACGAATCGTCATGAGATTAATTAACCCCCACACCCAAGCCTGCTGTGAGGACCGAGCGCGCGAGGCGGCAGAGGCCGCCGAGCAGAGCGAGGGTGGTGAACTCAGTGGAGAGGACGACTTCAGCGCGACAAGCAATCAAGAAAACCCTATGTACGTATAAATGGGTAATAGTAGTAAGATAGACGTATAAATAGTAAGAGTAGTAATAAGAAGAATAGTAATACTAACAGTAAAAATACTGGTAACGATAATCAGAATCGTAGTGATAATACCAAACAAGTTTAATAAGAAGAAGATTCATAATAACAGGAATGATAATGGTAACGGTAATTTAATGGCTACCGCCAGTGCCGCCGACCCCAAATTTTCCGGTGGGGTGGGGGGTGGGGGGAAGGGCGGAGCAAGCGGAGCGGGCGGGCATGCGCTGGAGCCCTTTAAAGTCAGTCATCTGATCGAGTCTAGAGAGGCAAAGGGCCAGAGGCCCGTAAAACTGTGGGGCCATGAGCCAGTAGGCACAGGGCCAGGGGACCATTAAGGGCATGGAGCCATTGGGGGCCATGGCCAGCTGGCCAGGGGGGGGGGGTTGGGGTGACGGGGAAGTGAGTGGGGAAGGGTGGTGGGAAGGGCGGAGCCTTGAAAGTCAATCTCCTGGTCGGTCTGCCAGAGGCCCGTAAAACCAGGTGGCCATGAGCCACTGGGCATAGGGCGAGGGGGGGGGGGGGGGGGGGGGGGGGGGGGGGGGGGGGGGGGGGGGGGGGGGGGGGGGGGGGGGGGGGGGGGGGGGGGGGGATTGGGGAGTTAGGCGGGCTGGAGTGGGGGGAGCGGTCAGGGTGGATTGGCCCTGAAACAGCAGAGATCGGTGAGGGGCGGAGTGGGCGGGAGAGGGTCGGCCTGCATGGGGAAGGGGGTGGGTGGGGGGGCGTGGGGGTGGGAGGGTGGGGTGCTGAGCGGTCATGGTCAGGGCGGGGCAAGGGGGAGGGGAGCGGGAGTGGAATGGTTGGGAAGGGGAAGGCGGAGATGAGGTAAGTGGGTGGGGTGGGGAAGAGGATGGAGTGGAGTGGTTGGGAAGGGGAAGGGCAGGGGGTCCGGAGGCCATGGGGGTCGAAGGGATGGGCAATGGGGAGCGGAGCGGGCGGGAAGGGCGGAGCAGCGGAGCGGGCGGAGCGGGCGGGACAACAGAGCCACGGGTCCAGAGATGGGGGGCGGCCATGGGGAGCGAAGTGGGTGGAAAGGGCGGAGCAGCGGACAGGGACGGGCGGAGGTCCGGAGGCCATGGGGGTCGAAGGATGGGCATAGGGAGCGGAGCGGGCGGGAAGGGCGGAGCAGGCGGAGCGGGCGGAGCGGGCATGCACTGGGGGCCTTTAAAGTCATCTGCTCGGGTCTAGAAGCCTAGAAGCAGAGGGTTAGGGAACCATGGGGCCATGGGGTCAGGAACCACTAGGGGCCAGCAAGCGAAGCGGACAGCTGGGGGCAGGAGTCACGATGGGACCATGTCCATCCAGAGATGGGAGCGGAGCGGGCGGGAAGGGCGGAGCAGGCGGAGCGGGCGGAGCGGGCGGGCATGCACTGGGGCCCTTTAAAGTCATCTGCTTGGGTCGAGGCGGGATGGGCCATGAAGAGCGGCGTGGGGCGGGATGGGCGGAGCAGGCGGAGGGGGCGCAAGCGAAGCGGAAAGCTGGCCGTAGGAGTCATGGGGCCATGGAGGTCCAAGGGATGGGCCATGGAGGTCGTCGCCATGAACCCATGGAGCCATGGGTCCAGAGATAGGGGGCGGCCATGGGGAGCGAAGTGGGTGGAAAGGGCGGAGCACCGGACAGGGACGGGCGGAGGCGAAGCGGACAGGTGGGGGCAGGAGTCATGATGGGACCATGGAGGTCCATCCAGAGATGCGGACGTCCGGAGGCCATGGGGGTCGAAGGGATGGGCAATGGCGAGCGGAGCGGGCGGGAAGGGCGGACCGGGCGGAGCGGGCGGAGCGGGCGGGACCCATGGAGCCATGGGTCCAGAGATGGGGGGCGGCCATGGGGAGCGAAGTGGGTGGAAAGGGCGGAGCAGCGGACAGGGACGGGCGGAGGTCCGGAGGCCACGGGGGTCGAAGGGATGGGCGTAGGGAGCGGAGCGGGCGGGAAGGGCGGAGCAGGCGGAGCGGGCGGAGCGGGCATGCACTGGGGGCCTTTAAAGTCATCTGCTCGGGTCTAGAAGCCTAGAAGCAGAGGGTTAGGGAACCATGGGGCCATGGGGTCAGGAACCACTAGGGGCCAGCAAGCGAAGCGGACAGCGGGGGGCAGGAGTCACGATGGGACCATGTCCATCCAGAGATGGGAGCGGAGCGGGCGGGAAGGGCGGAGCAGGCGGAGCGGGCGGAGCGGGCGGGCATGCACTGGGGCCCTTTAAAGTCATCTGCTTGGGTTTCGAGGCGGGATGGGCCATGAAGAGCGGCGTGGGGCGGGATGGGCGGAGCAGGCGGAGGGGGCGCAAGCGAAGCGGAAAGCTGGCCGTAGGAGTCATGGGGCCATGGAGGTCCAAGGGATGGGCCATGGAGGTCGTCGCCATGAACCCATGGAGCCATGGGTCCAGAGATGGGGGGCGGCCATGGGGAGCGAAGTGGGTGGAAAGGGCGGAGCAGCGGACAGGGACGGGCGGAGGTCCGGAGGCCATGGGGGTCGAAGGGATGGGCAATGGGGAGCGGAGCGGGCGGGAAGGGCGGAGCAGGCGGAGCGGGCGGAGCAGGGCATGTGCTGGGGGCCTTTAAAGTCATCTGCTCGGGTCTAGAAGCATAGGGTCCATGGGGCCATGGGGCCAGGAGCCACTAGGGGCAGCAGCCATGGGGTCAGGAACCACTAGGGGCCAAGCAAGCGAAGCGGACAGCTGGGGGCAGGAGTCATGATGGGACCATGGAGGTCCATCCAGAGATGGGGGCCATGGGGGTCGAAGGGATGGGCAATGGGGAGCGGAGCGGGCGGGAAGGGCGGAGCAGGCGGAGCGGGCGGAGCGGGCGGGCATGCACTGAAACCCCTTGAAAGTCATCTGCTTGGGTCTAGAGGCATAGGGGCAGGGAACCATGGGGTCATGGGGCGAAGAGCCACGAGGGACAGCAAGTGGGGTCGAAGGGATGGGCCATGAAGAGCGGCGTGGGGCGGGACGGGCGGAGCAGGCAAAGCGGAAAGCTGGCCGCGGCCAGGAGTCACGGGGCCCAGCCATGGGGTCGGGAACCACGAGGAAGAAGGGATGGGCATAGGGAGCGGAGCGGGCGCCTTTAAAGTCATCTCTCGGGTGTATAGAAGCATAGGGTTAGGGAACCATGGGGCCATGGGGCAGCAGTCATGGGGTCGGGAACCACGAGGGGCCAGCAAGCGAAGCGGACAGGTGGGGGCAGGAGTCATGATGGGAGCATGGAGGTCCATCCAGAGATGGGGGCCATGGGACGGGCGGACGTCCGGAGGCCATGGGGGTCGAAGGGATGGGCAATGGCGAGCGGAGCGGGCGGGAAGGGCGGAGCGGGCGGAGCGGGCGGGACGCATGGAGCCATGGGTCCAGAGATGAGGGGCGGCCATGGGGAGCGAAGTAGGTGGAAAGGGCGGAGCAGCGGACAGGGACGGGCGGAGGTCCGGAGGCCATGGGGGTCGAAGGGATGTGCGTAGGGAACGGAGCGGGCGGGAAGGGCGGAGCAGGCGGAGCGGGCGGAGCGGGCGGGCATGCACTGGGGCCTTTAAAGTCCGCTGCTCGGGTCTGGGAGCCTAGAAGCAGAGGGTTAGGGAACCATGGGGCCATGGGGTCAGGAACCACTAGGGGCCAGCAAGCGAAGCGGACAGCTGGGGGCAGGAGTCACGATGGGACCATGTCCATCTAGAGATGGGAGGGAGCGGGCGGGAAGGGCGGAGCAGGCGGAGCGGGCGGGCATGCACTGGGGCCTAAGGTCATCTGCTTGGGTTTTGAGGCGGGATGGGCCATGAAGAGCGGCGTGGGGCGGGATGGGCGGAGCAGGCGGAGGGGGCGCAAGCGAGAGATGGGGGGCGGCCATGGGGAGCGAAGTGGGTGGAAAGGGCGGAGCAACGGGCGGAGGTCCGGAGGCCATGGGGGTCGAAGGGATGGGCAATGGGGAGCGGAGCGGGCGGGAAGGGCGGAGCAGGCGGAGCGGGCGGAGCGGGCGGGCATGCACTGGGGGCCTTTAAAGTCATCTGCTCGGGTCTAGAAGCATAGGGTTAGGGAACCATGATGCCATGGGGCCAGGAGCCACTAGGGGCAGCAGCCGGGCATGCACTGAAGGGATGGGCAATGGGGAGCGGAGCGGGCGGGAAGGGCGGAGTGGGCGGAGCGGGCGGGCATGCGCTGAGGCCCTTTAAAGTCATCGGCTTGGGTCTGGCATAGGGGCAGGGAACCATGGGGTCATGGGGCGAAGAGCCACGAGGGACAGCAAGTGGGGGTCGAAGGGATGGGCCATGAAGAGCGGCGTGGGGCGGGACGGGCGGAGCAGGCGGACGGGGCGCAAGCGAAGCGGAAAGCTGGCCGCGGCCAGGAGTCACGGGGCCATGGAGGTCCAAGGGATGGGCCATGGAGGTCGTCGCCATGAACCCATGGAGCCATGGGTCCAGAGAGATGGGGGGCGGCCATGGGGAGCGCATCTGCTCGGGTCTAGAAGCCTAGAAGCAGAGGGTCAGGGAACCATGGGGCCATGGGGTCAGGAACCACTCGGGGCCAGCAAGCGAAGCGGACAGCTAGGGGCAGGAGTCACGATGGGACCTGTCCATCCAGAGATGGGAGCGGAGCGGGCGGGAAGGGCGGAGCAGGCGGAGCGGGTGGAGCGGGCGGGCATGCACTGGGGCCCTTTAAAGTCATCTGCTTGGGTCTCGAGGCGGGATGGGCCATGAAGAGCGGCGTGGGGCGGGATGGGCGGAGCAGGCGCAAGCGAAGCGGAAAGCTGCCGTAGGAGTCATGGGGCCATGGAGGTCCAAGGGATGGGCCATGGAGGTCGTCGCCATGAACCTTGGAGCCATGGGTCCAGAGATGGGGGGCGGCCATGGGGAGCGAAGTGGGTGGAAAGGGCGGAGCAGCGGACAGGGATGGGGAGCGGAGCGGGCGGGAAGGGCGGAGCAAGCGGAGCGGGCGGAGCGGGTGGGCATGCACTGAGGGCCTTTAAAGTCATCTGCTCGGGTCTAGAAGCATAGGGTTAGGGAACCATGGGGCCATGGGGCCAGGAGCCACTAGGGGCAGCAGCCATGGGGTCAGGAAATTCTAGGGGCCAAGCAAGCGAAGCGGACAGCTGGGGGCAGGAGTCATGATGGGACCATGGAGCCATGGGGGTCGAAGGGATGGGCAATGGGGAGCGGAGCGGGCGGGAAGGGCGGAGCAGGCGGAGCGGGCGGAGCGGGCGGGCATGCACTGGGGCCCTTAAAGTCATCTGCTTGGGTCTAGAGGCTGGGGGTCAAAGGGATGGGCCATGAAGAGCGGCGTGGGGCGGGACGGGCGGAGCAGGCGGAGGGGGCGCAAGCGAAGCGGAAAGCTGGCCCCGGCCAGGAGTGAGGGGCCATGGAGGTCCAAGGGATGGGCCATGGAGGTCGTCGCCATGAACCCATGGAGCCATGGGTCCAGAGATGGGGGGCGGCCATGGGGAGCGAAGTGGGTGGAAAGGGCGGAGCAGCGCAAGGGGCCGGGGGGAGGTCCGGAGGCCATGGGGGTCGAAGGGATGGGCAATGGGGAGCGGAGCGGGCGGGAAGGGCGAGCGGGCGGAGCGGGCGGGCATGCACTGGGGGCCTTTAAAGTCATCTGCTCGGGTCCATAGGGTCAGGGAACCATGGGGCCATGGGGCCAGGAGCCACTCGGGGCAGCAGCCATGGGGTCAGGAACCACTAGGGGCCAAGCAAGAAGCGGACAGCTGGGGGCAGGAGTCATGATGGGACCATGGAGGTCCATCCAGAGATGGGGGCCATGGGGGTCGAAGGGATGGGCAATGGGGAGCGGAGCGGGCGGGAAGGGCGGAGCAGGCGGAGCGGGCGGCGCGGGCGGGCATGCACTGGGGCCCTTCGGGTCTAGAGAAGCATAGGGTTAGGGAACCATGGGGCCATGGGGCAGCAGCCATGGGGTCGGGAAATACGAGGGGCCAGCAAGCGAAGCGGACAGGTGGGGGCAGGAGTCATGATGGGAGCATGTCCATCCAGAGATGGGGGCCATGGGACGGGCGGACGTCCGGAGGCCATGGGGGTCGAAGGGATGGGCAATGGCGAGCGGCGGAGCGGGCGGAGCGGGCGGGACCCATGGAGCCATGGGTCCAGAGATGGGGGGCGGCCGTGGGGAGCGAAGTGGGTGGAAAGGGCGGAGCAGCGGACAGGGACGGGCGGAGGTCCGGAGGCCATGGGGGTCGAAGGGATGGGCGTAGGGAGCGGAGCGGGCGGGAAGGGCGGAGCAGGCGGAGCGGGCGGAGCGGGCATGCACTGGGGGCCTTTAAAGTCATCTGCTCGGGTCTAGAAGCCTAGAAGCAGAGGGTTAGGGAACCATGGGGCCATGGGGTCAGGAACCACTAGGGGCCAGCAAGCGAAGCGGACAGCTGGGGGCAGGAGTCACGATAAAACCATGTCCATCCAGAGATGGGAGCGGAGCGGGCGGGAAGGGCGGAGCAGGCGGAGCGGGCGGAGCGGGCGGGCATGCACTGGGGCCCTTTAAAGTCATCTGCTTGGGTCTCGAGGCGGGATGGGCCATGAAGAGCGGCGTGGGGCGGGATGGGCGGAGCAGGCGGAGGGGGCGCAAGCGAAGCGGAAAGCTGGCCGTAGGAGTCATGGGGCCATGGAGGCCCAAGGGATGGGCCATGGAGGTCGTCGCCATGAACCCATGGAGCCATGGGTCCAGAGATGGGGGGCGGCCATGGGGAGCGAAGTGGGTGGAAAGGGCGGAGCAGGACTGGGGGCCTTTAAAGTCATCTGCTCGGGTCTAGGAGCCTAGAAGCAGAGGGTTAGGGAACCATGGGGCCATGGGGTCAGGAACCACTAGGGGCAGGAGTCACGATGGGACCATGTCCATCCAGAGATGGGAGCGGAGCGGGCGGGAAGGGCGGAGCAGGCGGAGCGGGCGGAGCGGGCGGGCATGCACTGGGGCCCTTTAAAGTCATCTGCTTGGGTCTCGAGGCGGGATGGGCCATGAAGAGCGGCGTGGGGCGGGATGGGCGGAGCAGGCGGAGGGGGCGCAAGCGAAGCGGAAACCTGGCCGTAGGAGTCATGGGGCCATGGAGGTCCAAGGGATGGGCCATGGAGGTCGTCGCCATGAACCCATGGAGCCATGGGTCCAGAGATGGGGGGCGGCCATGGGGAGCGAAGTGGGTGGAAAGGGCGGAGCAGCGGACAAGGATGGGTCTTCACTGACGCCGCCCCGGCTGGGGTCGGCGGATAAGAATCGTACTAATAATACCAAAGAAGTGTAAATAATAATCATAATAATAGTAGTGATCATAGTAAAAATAATAATAATCATAATCATAGTGAATAATGCAGAAGTGTGCTAGCGAGGCGAGGGTGCAGACCCCGAGAGCTCGTCGAGCCAGCGGATGCTGTGGGGTGGGTATGATGGTGGCGAGATCGACAAAGTACTGCACGTCATGGACTCCTCGATTTGCGCCGTTGTGCGGGAGATGTCCGGCAGGAGCAGACGCTTCAACTGAATGAGTGCTACCATATAGTGATCCAAGACTTCTAGTAGTAGTCTGCAAGTCGGGCAGAGACCCTGCGATGCAAGGCAAAGACGTCAAAGGCTCTGTCTCTCGGCCCAACGATTCCCACAGCGCAGCTGGTTTGCGAGTTATCGCACTTGTCTGAGCTGTGAGAGACGCTAGGTGCTGTGCTTCCTGCCTGGATGGTCTGAAATCAGGCCACGTCAAGCCGAACAATTCCGAACATGTCCTTGGGGCACAATCCGGAAGTGCAATGTGATTGAAGGTCATAATGTTTATACGTATACATTTTGTATGTATACATGTATATATATATATATATATATATATATACTATCCCCAGTTATACGACACAAAATAGAAAAGGTTCGCTAAGACTTGGTGCAACCTTTGCCAGTTCTATGCCTTCACGGGTGTGGTTTTAGGGGTTTTGTGAAAAAGGGTGTTAGGGTTTAGGGTGAACAAAGCCTCTGGTTTTGATGTCTGAATTTTGGGCAGGCAGCTACAGGAGCGGCTGAGCGAAGGAGAGCAGTCCAGTCAGATCTGGGCTGTGCCTCTGCATTCAACTTTACCCAAGGACTGAGTTTTGCGTGCCAGCACATCCTCATGCAGATTGTGCAAACAGCCGTGTCGGCAGGAGAGACAGCAACAAGTTTTCCAAAAGCCGCCCAAGAGCAGAGTGAAAGTCATCCTGGCCACCAACATCGCAGAGAGCTCCGTCACAATCAACGATGCCCCTGGGCGGAGTCTCTCAACCGATCTCTCGTACCCTCAACAGAAACTGCAAAGGGGACTCGAGCCCTAAGGGATCCACTCAGTGGCCGGAGGTTTAGAGGACTTAAGAGGTGTGCACTGCGGTTGCCGGCTAGCTGCAACGACCCATCATGGGCTTGGCTGTTTTTGTTTTTTTTGACTGATGGTGGATGTTTTTTTCGCTGTTCAGCATGCCCCAGAGCCTGCCAGCTAGGCGCATGCTCGGGGTTTAGGGTCTAGGGTTTAGGGTACCATTCCGGCAACGCTCTCAGTCTGGCTGCAAAAGGGTTTAGGGTAAATTTAGGGTTGTCGTTTTGTCGTGCAAGGTGGAGGTTGTGATTGATTCCGGCCTGCAGCGCGAGCTAGCCTATGATGCCAAGCGGCGAATGTCATCGCTGGATACAGTGTGGGTCTCGCAGAGCGGTGCGATCCAAAGACGAGGCCCTCTTGCTGCAGATTGCGATGAGAGGTGCTTGGAGCCTACATGTGCAAGTAGTGCAGGACGTTGCGTACCTGCCTGGATCAGGTCGTGCTGGGCGAGTGCGGTCTGGGAGGGTGCTGCGATTGTATAGCCGCCAGCAGTTTTCGGCAGCTGGCCCAACACAGTCATGAAGAGCGGTCGTAGTCCTTGCCCAGTTATAACCCTAAGCCCTAAACCCTAAACCCTGTGGAAGCATGCAGAGATGCTTTGAAGGCACTTCCCGCTCAGCCCTCTCCGGAAATGCAGCGCTGCGACCTGGCCCAGAGCTGCCTGCAGGCAAGGCACTTTTTTGCCTTGGAAATCGGTCTGTCTCGCCTCAAGATGAAGAGAAGCCAGAGTTTAGGGTTTAGGATTTAGGGTTTAGGATTTAGGGTTTGGGGTTTAGGGTTTATAGGGTCAGAGGCTAGCCAGGAATGCGGTCGCCAAAATGTCAGAGTGGACGTAGATGTCTGTGCGAACTCGTCAGGCTATCGCGCTCGGACGGGACCCCCGCAAATTCCTCGCCAGCGCGATGGATCAGCCAAACGTCGCAGCCGTGGATTCGGCGATGGAGCAGCTGCTTGCTGTTGGTTGTACCCTATAAAATCTCCATTAAGGGTATATGGTAGGGGATCTATGGTAATTATCTTCTTCCCCATTCCCTACGAACCAACAGTAAGGCTGGCGTCCATCCGTGCCATTAGCCACTCTGATCCGGAACAGTGCCCGGTGATGCTGCCCATTGGCGAGGCAGGATTGCTGCGGGTCTCCTCGCTACTCACTGCTGAGTCAGCAAGGTAGTAATATTAGTGCATCAATACAACATACTGCTACAGAAGTACAATAGTATAATAACATGTATTTAGATACTGATTTAAAGATACACTCATCTCATAGTGTAATACAGTAATGCATCAAAATGAAAACAACATCGCAATACAACAATCAAGCAAAATACCAATATAGCAAGAGAATACTAAAACCATATGCAATATACTAAATTAGCAATTTCAAAACATGTCAATATAATGACCTAGACAGTGAATAAACGCATAACAATTACCCTGCGGAGGTGCTGGCCCGGCTGCCCTTGGAGCCCCTGTTGGGAAGGGCGGCAATGCTCCTTCGGTGCAAGGCCAAAGAAGGTAGTCGTTGGAGCTTGCTAAAGCTGCTAAGTAAGGGTTTTGGGTTTGGGGCTAAGGGTTTAGGGTTTCGGGCTAGGGTTTAGGGTTTAGGGTTTAGGGTTTAGGGTTTAGGGTTTAGGGTTTAGGGTTTAGGTTTAGGGTTTAGGGTTTAGGGTTTAGGGTTTAGGGTTTAGGGTTTAGGGTTTAGGGTTTAGGGTTTAGGGTTTAGGGCTGTCAAGCTAAGGCTGGGCTGTGTTCTTGGCATTCCACAGCCAGCCGCAGCACTGCTGGTGGCCGCTGGTGGCCGGGCTCCCTTCATTGGCAGCAGACAGGAGGCACGGACGCCACCGGTATAGGAAGCCCAATCCAAAACGGGTGTTTAGGGTTTAGGGTTTCGGGTTAGGGTTAGGGTTTAGTGGAAAGGAAGCCCAATTAGGTTTAGGGTCTACCTAGAGGCTCCTATGTAGTACCTTTTTGGGGTAGTATACTAGAATCCCCTATACCTAACCCAAAAAGGAACCACATTGGAGCCTTCAGGCAGGGTTTAGGGTCCCTGCGGCTGGTTCAGGTTGCCGAAGCTCAACGAGAGTTTTGCCGCTGGTCTGACCCGGTGGCTGCGGCACGAGCGCTTCTGGCCTGGGAGGTAGGGCGGCATAGCCAGATCAGGGTCAGCAGAGATTAAAAATTGCGACTTCATTTCATTTGCTAAGCAATATCCAGCTTGGCCATAGCCTTAAGCTGTCACTCTGGTTCTTGCCATGCTTGCATTTACAGGAGCGGGCTGCTCAAGACGAAGCAGCAGCACAGAAGTGGGCCGAGAAGAAGGGGCTCAGTCCCAGCAGGTTGGCGGGTCTCGCACGAGACAAGGCCGACGGCTCCCTTGTTAAGCGGTTGGCGGGGGATCTACGGTTCCTACCTGAAGGCTCCTATGTAGTTCCTTTTTGTTGGGCTATTTATAGGGGATTCTAGTATACTACCCCAAAAAGGTACTACATAGGAGCCTTTAGTCGCGTTACCGTTTACATCCCGTCACCGCCGCGCCTGCAACCGCAGCATGCTCTGCAAGCCTTGACAGGCATACCTTCTCCGGGACATGCAGCGTGCAGGACTCCTTCGTTCGGCGCCGACAGGCAGGTGATGTTTGATGCTCAAACCAGCATGAGCTACTAGGCCTTATAATCCCCATAATCAACCCTATAAAGGGCCGTTTTAAAGGGGATATAGAGTATAATAGCTCGTCCTGGAAGACGGTTAACTCGGATGATTAACTCCTCATGAGAGCCCACTGTGTGAGTGGTTATACGAGTACCGTCTGTAGTTGTCGTGGGCCAGGCGCAAAGACTCAACCCGTGCCTTCTCCGCAAAAGGAATCTCTTGGAGGTTCATGGTACTTAATAAGAACCAATTATAACTGCACTTACCACCCACTTATATATAGGCCCCTTAAGTGCCCTAATGTGGTTATTGTTTGGGTTATAAGTACAGTCATTTTACCCTAAACCCTAAACCCTAAACCCTAAACCCTAAACCCTAAACCCTAAACCCTTAGGGTGAGTTAAGTGCCATGAACCTCCAAGCTGGGCCTTGGGCTATCCCTTCGAGTGCGGACTCTTCCGCCCAGGACCTTGTGGAGGAGTCGGAGGACAGCGCGGCCTTGCTGGAGACCCGCGGAGAGCTGGAAGAGGCTCAGATACCTTCATGAAGATCCTGAAGGCTCCCATGTAGTTCCTTTTTTTGGGGGGATATGTCTAGGGGGTTCTGGTATAGCTACCCCAAAAAGGTACTACATGGGATGGGAGCCGTTAGGTAGCAACCGACTTGAGTGCGCTTTTTGAGCCGGTTGCAGAGGCATGAAGTGTTCCAGTATTGTACTAAGGCACTCATGAAATTGGAGGAGGAGGCGTCCCGTCTTGGCTAAACATTGAAGATGAGCAAGAACGTAGATTGAGCGTGCGATGCCTTTCTTCTTGGCTGATCCGTTCTCGGCTCATGCTGATTGCTAGCATCACCCGATTCGGTACTAGGACCACATGTGCTAGTAGTCCTCAACTCGTTCTTGTGAGCTTCGGGTGCCTTATAGTCTGGTCGTACTGCAGCTGCTGCGTGGGGAGCTGACCCCTCTTCGATACTCTTTGTCTTGCCCAGGTGCTGCAGAAGCATGATCAGCAACAGGATGTGGCCTCACCGTCCAGCTCCATCAGCCTGCCGCCCAAAGTGCCAAGGGCACCAAGAATGACTTGCAGTTCCCTATAAGGGTCCACGTACCTACATAGGGAATACTTGGGCCTTCAAGTACCTCCTGTTTAGGGACTTTAGGGCCCAAGTACATCAGGATGAGGTACATGGTACATGGACCCCTAAGGGGTTATAGCATATGAGTCAGTACGCTAAGGTGATCTCCAGCTTGTGACCGTGCTGTGCAGCGCATATCCGGCCAACATTGCCATGCGGCTCCTGAGCAGCAAGTGAGGTTGGAGGCCAGGCCTGAGCTGGGTGAAGTGACTCTATTCATACATTAATATATTAATATATTAATATATTAATATATTAATATATTAATATATTAATATATTAATATATTAATATATTAATATATTAATATATTAATATATTAATATACTAATATACTAATATGTTAATATATTATTGCCCAATATTGTGCCACTGTATGATTGCATCTTTCTTTCATTGTTTTGTTGGTATTACGTTAGTATTATCCAATGGCGAGTACTATTTTTATAGTATGTTCATTATTGTTTGAGTATTATTGCCGTATTGTCATGTTATCAACTTACTGTATACTGAGGTCCCGGGACAATTCCAACTGCTTTCAGATCAGCAACCTTGGGACGGCTGTCATGTCACCCGTGTCCGTCAACGCCGGAGGTGTTCTGCAAACCAGGGTTCCGGGATTTAGGGTTTATAGGGTCTACCTGAAGTCTCCCAAAAATAGTTCCTATTTGGGCTAGTGACAGGGGATTCTAGTATACTACCCCAAAAAGGTACTCCACAGGAGCCTTTAGGTAGGGCGCAAGGCCTTCTTTCTGCAGATGCTGGGGGGGCGGGGCGCGCTCGTCGGCCCTCGCAGGTGAGGATGGAACATGGTGGCTCTACGGGGATGTTCAGGCATTCAGAGCTTGCCTCACCTGTAGAGTCCTACTTTGTTTCCTTTTGGTCCTGATATCATCAGTGTATTCTATTTAAATCATACATCAGTTTATTATGGTTATTATGATTGTTGTCGTTATTTTCATTTATTAGTTTAACTACATGAAGCTTGAACTCCGGGTTGCGACTTGGCAGGTGGGAGGAAACAGGTCCTTCATGCACAGTACCACCCACGTAGAAGACTGGCAGCTCGCACTGTTCGGCGGCCTGCGCTACAAGGAGCGGTTTTGTTTGTAATGCAATAATACGAATATTAATTTTCGAATGATACAAGAATCAATAGTACTAGAATATTTCCATAGTGAGAAGGACATTTTGTAACACTATAAGAATACATATATAATATATATATATGTTATTTGTAACAAAACAACAGTATAGCAAAAATGCGCATACATCATATTTCCAGAATATATCATTATAATAACATAGTAAGAACAATAATAATTTCATAATATGTACGAATAGAAACAGATGTACATACATCAATACAGAGAAACAATACACTATTCTTTAAAGATACATAATATCAACATAAACATAGAAAAAATCATAATCTTCTAATGATAATATAACAGCAATGGTATATGTAATCAGATAAGACGATCAGAATGAGAATAAAACAGATAATTGCCATCCGTCTTCAGGTAATGACACTAATGCGTCGCAAGGAGTCGGAAGACCAGAAGAGACACACCTGTATGGTTTTGGACAACTGGCTGCAGGCAGGGTTGAAAGACCTGGCAAGGGGCTTCAATCGTTTGTTCGTCTGGTGGACAGGTTGGAGCCCGAGTAAGGCGAACGAACGAGCTGCTCCTCCAGCTACGGAAGCTGGTGAACGATTCGATCGCATGGAAAGCTCTCGACGCGCTGGATGGAAATGGAAAGTGTGACGATCTCTCGGAGACGGAAATCTCGGAGGCCCATCCCCGAATTTTCTTGTTTTTCATTCTATGCCAGCTGTGGAGTGCGCGGCTTTGCTTTTTTTGGGGAGGTGAATGAGAAGTTGGTGCAGTGCGTGCGGTCCGTTCTCGGAGTGCTGGCAGCCCATATCTCTTGCGTGACCTCCTACAAGACTGCTGATGCACGAAGGTGTCTGGTTGTCTTAGACTGGACTGAGGCTCGGAAGCACCACGGAGGACATGATGCAGGACGCTTGTCCGTTTGGCTTCTCTTCGCACCAGCTTTTCAGGGCCTCGGGGGCTAGATGAACCCTAAGACCCTAAGAGGTTTGTGGTCCATACTTCAATCGTGCATGGTCATAGTATACCGGACATGGTCATCCCTAAACCCCTAAACCCCAAGCCCTATGGATGAAATTCGTCCCTTGGGAATCATGCAAGCCCCCCATGAGAAAACGGGGGTCATGCCTGCGGTGACACCACTGGCCTCAGGATGCGGATGACAACGACGTCGAGCCAGAAGTCGAGGCAGTGTATATATATGTATGTGCATGTATGTATGTATGTATGTACGTATGTATGTATTTATAGACAATTATCTGCACATAAACATACACAGGCATCAATGTTGACACATATATACGCATGCACATATTGCAGGAAACAGGGATGATGTCAGTGGCTGGGAGAACTTCTGGGGTTCCAGGGTTCCAGTGGTGTTCCCTGCTCCCAGCTGATACAGACAAGAGTCTGGGTTCAAACACGGGGCTTAGGGACTATAGGGTTTAGGGTTTAGGGTTCAGGGTTTAGGGTTTAGGGTTTAGGGTTTAGGGTTAGATAAGGCTTCGTGGTGCCTATTTGCTCTCGCAAAGCTAAGAGGGCTTACTAGGCTTGCTGGAAGACTTTCAGGACAGAGGGCTAAGATGCCGAAAACTCCAGTCCAGACATGGAGTAGGGTCTATCCACCTCATGAGCCGAAAGTCTCACACTACTGTCGGTTAGTCCTGTATGGCACGCCATCTAGGGGATTCTGAAGCAACCTACAACAAACATTAAGTTCGGACGTCTTGGCCCTGAAGCCCCCGAATCAACCCTCCTAATACCTCAGCCCCTCCAACAAAAACAAGCAGGAGAAAACCCTAAACCCAGTGATACCGTTGACCAGGGCGTAGACGAGGAGGGGCCGGAGGGAGAAGAGGCGCGCGGCCTGCGCAGTGTGGAGAGGGTTGAGGGTTTGGATAGAAAATAGGTATGAAGGTGCTCTGAAATGTCGGGGCAATAGACAAGGTCCCAAGGAGTTCAGAGCTTTGGGGCTGTTCTGGATTTTGGGGGCTTTTTTGTTGCCTCAGTGTTCCGTTTTGAAGGGAGCCTGGCTTAGCGTTACAGGACCCCTAATACAAGGCGCTGTGTATATGACGACCCCAAAGGGACGCCATGGCTTCATGCTCACTTAGGGTTTAGGGTTTAGGGATCAGGGTTTAGGGATTAGGGTTTAGGGTTTAGGGTTTAGGGGAGCCTTCATCTGCCCGTGCATGGAGAGTGGAGGATATAATTTCGATACTATTAGAACGCTCTATCACTATGAGTCTAAAGCATTATAGCACTGTTGTGTTGTAATGTTTCTGCTACAACACAATAGTAAGATAATACAAAGGATGCCATGGTACTATAATATTAAATATTGCAGAGCTGTAGCTTCCCAGTATTCCTGATGATGATGTCCTTCTTCCGCATAGGTTCCGGGAGACTTTTTTGTGGTAGACTAGCATTGGTTTTGGGACTAGGGTCAACTGTGCAAAAGCCTTTGTTTTCAGCTTCATGCCCCTCAACACGCTGACACTGCCTGCTCCGCACAGTGAGCAACTACTGCATTGCTTGACCATAACGATGCCGCTGTTGCCGTGTTTGCTGAAGAGTGCTTATCCCCGCGCCTCTGCGCTGCTTGTGCATCGGCTCATGGCCGCATCAGTGGCGCCTCAGAGGCGTGGAACGTGTCGCCTCCGAGCCCTCGTCGTTCTGGCAGCGGTCACTTGTGCGCCGCTGAACTGGGTGTTTCTCGTGGCGCCTTCGCCCTCGCGGCGCGATGCCACGGCTGCTGCGGTTGCCGGATTGCTCGCAGCCTCTGTGCCGTCGCCAGGCTCAGAGGTGCTGGCAGCGGACGCCTTGACGGGAGTGAAGCTGGTGGTCTGCGGCGATGATGCATGCAAGAAGCCCTTCGAGGCCTTTTCGAAGGACCTGAAGTTCGACTCCTTCCCGTTAAACCAGTGCCAGCTGCTGTCACCGAGCAAGCCCGCTCCAGGAACCGGTACGGACTTTCCTGAGGTCTATGCGCGGCTAACGTGTAAGGACTCGGGGGTGAGGCTGGAGGCATTCGCCACGGAGAGGTGCACGGGCTTGTACCAGGATGTGGAGATGAGCAACGGGAAGAGCGTCAAATTACCAGACATCGGCTACGCTATTCTGACATGGTCTGATGGTTGCTGACAAGCATTGACAAGCGCACTATCTGCGGTGCCAAAGATTGTATCGGACTGATAGAGAAAAATTGCTCGCCCAATGTTACATTGGCGTACAGTTGCATAGTGTAGAGAATAGATATACACATATTCTATATGCACGTGTATTTGTATGTATATAATATATATGTATATGTACACATATATGTAATGATATATACTTACACTGGTCGTGCTTCCATTGTCGTGCTTCCATTGTCTTCGCGGGTTTCGGGATTCAGGGTTTAAGGTTTCTATTACTATAGGGTTTTGAGTTGAGAGTGTTCCATCCAGGGCCACGCGCGCTTGATGCTGAGTGTCCTTTAGCAGTGGTGATGGTAAGAGTACGCCCTGGACTCCCCACCGTACCGGGCCAGAAGCCCCTGAAATGAGCCCTACATTCTGCCACGTTTTTTTTTTTTTTTGGGGGGGGGGGGGGGGGGGGGGGGGGGGGAGGGGGGTTTGCGAACCCTAAGCTCTTTTAACAGGTGGCCAGCAAGGAAGAGCTGTCAAACATGACCATCTCACAACTCAAGGCACGACCTGGTCTTGGGAGTGGGATTTTGGGATGGAGGGTTTATTCGTAGGTAGGATAAGGGGGACCCTTAAATGGGAACCCCTTCTTAACCGTCTTCTGGTTCTCTTAAACAGGGTCCTTATTCAGAGGGTCTATATCCCCAAGGGTCCCCCTAATCCTATCCCCTATTTATCGGGTTTACAGGGTTCGGGAGAACTATGTGTAGGTAGCTCTTGCGCTGGTGGTCCAGGTTCGGAGTCTCCTTATGAAGGGCACGGTCCTGACAAAGAATGGCTTGCCTAACCCAGAGCTACATGTGCAGCTTTTGCGCCTGATTTCCCCGCAGGAGCTGCTCAAGAACAAAGGCCTCAAAGCAAGCGCCCTAAAAGAGTGCGTGCCATGCCTGCTGGAGTTATGCTCGTGTGTGTTGCATTGGGATGTTCCCCCCTGACACTAACAGTCCTTAAAAAAGGGATGAGAGTACCCCCCATTATAATCCCTAGTACGGACTGTTACTATAAGGGGGAACATCCCAAGTGTTGCATGCTGCATTTCCCTTGTTTTGCGCGGGACCTTGTCGAAGTAGAGCCACTCACTTTGGCTCGCCTCCATCAACAGGTCAGCGGCCGAAAGGACGAGCTTGTGAGCCGACTGTGCAACTCCTTTGAAAGCGGGTAGGCCCTTTTGAACATCTCATCTTTTCCCTTACGCTGGGTTCACTGCATTTGGGATGTTTCTGATTCTATGTTCCCTTATTGGGTTGAGAGCACCTTCTTGGAGAATCTTCTTCAGGAAGAGTTGAAGAGGTCTCCAATTAGTTCCTTTTTGGGCTAGTGATAGGGGATTCTAGTCTACTACCCCAAAAAAAGTGCTACATAGGAGCCTTTAGGTAAGAGGGCCAGTCTGGGGGGGGGGGGGGGTGTTTCTGTCGACTAGCTTTCGTCGACACCCTGCTTCTGAAGCCGGCGCTCCAGCGGTTTCAAAGGCTTGCCTAGTTGCGCTGCAATAGCAAATGCGTCATACATCACTGCGTTGCGATGCATTCTACAGCACAATGTATATACGTTATATATGTATATATGTATACATGTGTGCGTGCGAGAGAGAGAGATATATATATATACATATATTCACACGTAGAAAAACAGATTCCAGGCTTAGCTCAGCACCGAGGGCTTCCACCTGATCTGTCTACAGATCCTCCAGTTGTCGGGCCGGTGCTTAATTTTGGCTCAGAACACGAGATTCCGCCGGCAGCAGCTGCAAAGCCAGACGCTTACGCATCCCATCTTGGGCCGCGCAGCGACTTGTCAAGATAGGAGCTGCGTAGCAGCCATTCTTCCTAAGGTCAGTGCAGCACTTGGATCGTTTGGGTGCAGACGAGCATGGCAGATCAGGACCTTGCCAGGAGTAGAGTCACGGGCAGAGGCACACTCAGATGTGCGTTTGCAGAGCGTCCAAGAATTGGCAGGACATGACAATCCGGGCAAGACTCCAAGTCATCGTGTGTGGGGTTGTTGAGCTGCCCTACTCTGGCTGATGCGCACGCATGCGTTAGCGGCCTCGGACGAAACGCACTCTAGCCCTAAACCCTAAACCCTAAACCTTAAAGTAAAAAACCCTAAACCCCCTCTCTCTCGAACATGATCTGGTTTCCACCGTGTTCTACAGGTGCCCGGCGAACACAGGATGGACATCCTAACAGCGGAAGATGGGTTGATGATCCAGGCCTGCCTTCAAAGGGGTTGCAGGAAGGTTTGGGGTTTAGGGTCTAGGGTTTAAGGAGTCCAGTTGCAAAAGGGTTTAGGGTTCAGGGTTCAGGGTTTAGCGTTGTGGCATTTAGGGTTTCAGAGTCTGGGCGAAAGGATTGAGGGCCAGGGAATCGTGTGGGCTGTCATTCAGCGAAGTCAGGAAGGGTGATCCCTGGGCGAAAGTGATTCAAATGGGTATTTCCCAAAATAGGGGTACCCCTTTGAATTGAATAGAAGCCCTTTACGGGGCACCCCAAACAGGGTACCCAGATATTCGGAAACTGCCAATGATTCTCAGGCAGATGACTGTGACAGCTGGAAGGCTCGCGCAAAGATCAGCACCTTTGCAGCCCGTGTGTTGACATGTTCCCTTACTTGGAAGCTCCTTTGACCAGGAAATGTCCTTGGGACCTCCTAGAATCCCGAAAATAATCCCCGTACTAACCCTTCTTACTGAGTCAAAAGGGCCCTAAACCCTAGACCCTAAACCCTAAACCGTAAACCCTAAACCCTAAACCCTAAACCCTAAACCCTAGTCAGCTTGCACAGGAGCCCACTCCTGAGGAGCGCGAGGACATCTTGCGCTTCCTCAAGCAGGAGAAGGTCAGCGGGCACGTGGCAAAGCCCAGCCCTCAGCGCCGAGGTTTAGGGTTTAGGGTTTAGGGTTATTAGGGTTTAGGGTTTAGCTTGTAGCTGCGCATCATAACGTATTGTACTACAGTCGTGGAAAATAACTTAGAGTAATGTTTAGTAACATATACGAATATACAATAAGTATGAGAATAAATAGCAATATGATCATGCATAGTTATATATAAGAATAGATTCAATACTGTAGAAAGAATATCTACTACGATATAGCCACATATAACAATAGATAACAATCTAGATGTGTATCAGCTATATTATATATGTATACAGATATATATATATATATATTTATATTTATAATTATATTTATACGCTTTTATATTAATCTACATAGTATTACATGACACCTTAGATACACTGTTATACATAACAACACCTAATAAGCTTTTTTCAAGTATGCCAGTGACCGCAGGAGTGCCCGAGTGGCCTCTGGCCGGGTGGGCTTCAACAGCCACGGAGTGTTCTTCCTCAGCAACCACGTGAAGCGATACTATGGCATCAAGCATGCGGCTCAGGGAGCCCCTAAACCCTAAACCCTAAACCCTAAACCCTAAACCGCAGTACTCATGTGGTACTGGAACCAGTGTCTTGCAGTGGACTCCAAGTACCTAGGAAGTCTCACGCAAATGTGCTGCTGCTGAGCGCCGTGCCAGAGGCATCGCCCAACTTCTGACAGTCGATATATATACATATATATATATACACATATATATATACACATATGTATATATATATATATATATAAATATTTCTTTCTTTCTCTATTTATTGAGTATGGCATTATATTGTACTAATACATAATACAGTCTTCAACTAATTTATACATGTAACAGAATTCTCGTATGCCTTGGCAGATGTCAGGCCTGCCCAAGGATCGAAGCTGAAGCCGACGCACTGCACCTGGAGAAGAGAGCCATAGGGTGCCATGGTGCTTTGTACATCAAATTAGGGTTTAGGGTTTAGGGTTTAGGGTTTAGGGTTTAGGGTTTAGGGTTTAGGGTTTAGGGTTTAGGGTTTAGGGTTTAGGGCACGGTATGCGCACTCCTGACGCCCCCCAGGTCGGGTCTAACAAGCTTCTTGGAGCCTTGGCCCGAAGTATGGCCCACATCGGCGACGAGGTGCACGCAAGCGCGAGCGAGCGCGCGCCGGCGTGCGTTCAATCGGAGTGAGTGGCTTCAAGTGGCTTCCATCCAGGTTCGCACGACCTTTTTGAAGGCCACCTTTGCACGAGCAGACAGGACATCCCAGTGAAAGCAACCTTGATATCCGCACAACCGCCAGTTCGGGATAGAACCCCTAAGCCGGAAGCGACCGAACTGAAGCTCAACAGCCCCCCCTTTGTGCGGCCAGGAACAACAATGGCAAACTCAGCAGGCCGGAGCGTGTGCGTCACCGCTGTCTGATGCCAAACGGTAAGGGCAGTGACCATATGATGCCAAATGAGCAATGCAGCAACCGGTTTGAGCACACCTCATCCTTCCTCTCAGGGGCACTTAAATGCGCAGGCTTGTTGCAGCCATCAGTTTTATATGTCTGTTTGTAGTCTCGGACACCAGAAACCGCTGCAGTATGACTGACTGCACGGGGCCTCAGGCGATGAGCATCTTGAGTTACGCCTCCAAACTCTGTGTTTCCCTTCCCTTCAAACAAGGGCTGGATGTAGCTGGACGAAAGAGGAATCTCCCGCTTTGGCTGACTGGTCGCTTGATGACATCAGGGCCAGCATTACCTCTGTGCTTGTACCCTCCCAGCCAAGCCTGGTTCCGCATTCCAATGCATGATTCTGATTCTTGTTTTTTTCCTGTTCTTCTTCTTTATATCATTATGACCAACTCTTACCATCATTACCACAATAGTCATGTACATTATCTTTCTCTTGGTGGCTGCAAAGCCCAGGACGTCACTGTGCGACCCTCTCAGTGACGTCTTGGGGTTGGCAGCCACCAGATAAACCATGCTTTTTTTTAACAAACTCAACAAAAAGACAAACAAGTGTAGAACGGGTATAAAGATTATTACAAGACATACCAGAAATGTTTCGAGTGAAGTGCATTTCAGAGTTGGGGTCTCCCAACAGAGGAGTCCTGTGTGTGGCTGTAAGACCAGGCCGGAACTCGGTTCCATGATGCGGAAGCTCCTCAACACGATGAGCGCAAGCGACATCGAAGCGATGATGGAGAAGGCAATTTTCGAGAGAGAGAGAGAGTGGTTCAGGGGTTGATGTGCCTCGGTCACAGGCAAGCAATCAGAATATAAAGTATATATATATATATATATAAGAGTACATTTATATGAAAATAAGAATGTATGATAGTACTTTTGATGCATGCGAATGCGGTAAGTGAGCTTTTTCAGAAACCTGGAGACCCATTTGGCCCAAGGCATGGTGAAACCCATGAGAGTTTGTTGATATTTGCGAAAGCTCTTGGAGCATGTTGCCTTCGACAGCGCAACGTGGGGGTTCAAGATCCCAGGTTTGCGAAGTGGGCTCTTGCAGGGTGCTATTTTGAGAGTAATGTCGCGTCTGAAGCAGATTCTGTGGGTGCCTTTCTGTTTCCCCGCCTTTGGAGGCCGACACAGACTACAGCAGGAAGCCGAGAGACCATGCCCCTACTGAGTAGCAGCCAAGGATTTTTTGCGAGGTGAGATGACACCTGCAAGTACTCATAGCTGCTTAAGGCCATTCCATTGGCTATGACGAGTTCGTGGTCTGGCTACACTCCGAGCACCATGATCGCGTAACGAAGATCTTGGGTACCGAGGCTGGGGATGGAGAAGTGATGGTCACTTCTCAAAAGTATAGTCCCGTTTGGGGTAACTAGTATAGCGCCCCCTAATATTTAGGGGACCCCCAAAATGGACCATAATTGAGAGAACTCACGAGATGAATATCTCAGCTTGACAGTTCCCGAGAGATGTCACGAAAGCGAGCACCATCGGAGCTCCAACATCGTGGGATCTGATGGCCTGATAGGGGGGGAGGGAGGGGGGAGCCCCCTCCTTGTGGCCTGGTTCAACTTTGAACACTTAAGTAAGTGAGGGCGCTTTACAAGGCACTTCTTGTCAAGCCTTCTCTTGTTTGCATTCGTCCTGGGCCTGCTCAAGTCCTGTTGGTTTGATATAGGTCATGTATCCTTTTGGGCTTCTAGCAAGTAAGTGGAAGCCTTGCAGGGCCTTCAGGGCTCATATTAGTGTGCATTGTCTATAGGCCTTATGGGTGCCAGTGTCATTGCCAGTGTCATTGCGTGGCTGACAGGCGACACTGAGTCCGAGAGAGAGAGGGAGAGGGTCAGGGTCTGGCTTTCGCCCCCGCGCTCAGGGGTGTTGCGCCCGTCAAGCCCAGCAGAATCTAAGAAGAAGAAGAAGAAGAACCCTAAACCCTGAACCCTAAACCCTAAACCCCAAACCCTAAACCCCGACCCGCCTTGCTCCCATGAGCTTAGCAGGCCGACCTGGTGAAGGCGACCTTTCGTCTGTGGGATCGGAATGGTGACGGCTTGGCTCGCGCCCGAGCCTGCTTTTTCCTCCAACAAATTTCCTCCAAAAACACACATATTCATGTATATATATATATATATGTATATACATTTTCTAGAAATACATATACATCTATACATGTGTATATATATATATATATGTATATATATATATATATATGTGTGTATGTGTGTGTGTGTCTTGTGGGTATGTCTCTCTAAGTTTTGTTATCACCCGGTCGAATTCTAAAGTTATGTATATTTCTAGATATATATATATATATGCATATGTATGCACTGTTCTATAGATGTATAAATATTGTATGCATACATACATACATACATATACATATACATGTTATTCATATTCTATATATATATATATACACACACACACGCACGCACGCACGCACGCACACACACACACACACAAACACACGCTTATTGCCCCGGATTTGTTCTGGCGGGTGCCCCAAGAGGGAGTAGAGCTTTGAGAACCGCCTGAATGCCCGGATGATCTCTGCAGCAGAAACTGGAGCTGCCGCTGAGGTGAAGAACAAGGACTTGGTTCGAATTCTCGAAAAGACCTGCAGCACCATGACGCCGAAACAGCTCAAAGCCTTAGTTGATACCATCGACCCATCCTCAGCAATGTGGTTGTCAGCGTTGGTAGATTGGTGGCAGAGCACTTCTCAATCCTTCCGGAACTGAGGATGCCTCAGATGATGGCGAGGCCAGATCGGCGTTGCATAATTCTTACAGGACGTTATTATCAGTTCTAGAAGTCTCTTGGGATGTTCCCACTTATACTAACAGTCCTTGATAGGGATTAGAATAGTGAGTAGAGTACTGTAATCCCTCGGAACATCCCAAGAAGTCAGTTTAGTATGTAGTAGTGCTACAAATGGAATCGGTGGGAGACTTTGTTCGTGCATGTCAGTGGGAGCCAAGGTGGATTATGATGAATTTGTTGATTTCGTTTTCACCTGAACTCGGCACAGAGAAGCAATGCTTCCGAAGGCGTGTTTGGAATGCGTGGGCACGCACGAATAGAATAGCAAGCCGGCGACGTGGCTGCCAGCAGGCACAACGTAGAATCACCGTTAGACTCGCCGCGGGACTGCTAAGAGAGCAGGTGAGCCAAGCAAACTGCCGAAGTGCAGTGGTGCACAAGCCCGTGTTAGTGTTTCACACCCAGTGCAAGGACGGAATGCCAAGGGAATCATAAATCGGCGCAGCATGTAGACTCTAGACGTAATCAAAAAGTACCTTGCAGCTGACTGTATGTATAAATACATGCATACGTATATGTGTATGTAGAGTTATATGTATCTTAATATTTACACGATCTTACATGCTTATTCGCTTATGTATAATAGCACATGCCGACGTTTGGCCTTTGGTCCAGCCAGCCCCTCTTCAGTTCTCTGGTGCCCAGACGTGGGATAGCCATGGCTGACAATGAGGACTTCGATTTTTCGGCCCTGGCAGTGAGCCGCTGGATTTGGGCGGCTTCCAGCGTGCAGAAGATGCCAGGGGGCTTGCTCCGTGGCTGAACGTGTGACATGCGGCAAGGACCCTCAAGAGCAGACAAACCAGACTTGTATATATAAATTTATGTTTATACTTATATATTTCTATTTATATTTAGATTTATATTTACATTTATATCTATATTTATATTCATTTTTGTATTTATATTTATACATATATCTATATATATATACACACATATTTTCCTTATTCATCTCGAGAGGCCCTGACACAAGGTGCATCCGTCACAGCCAGCAGCGAACTGTGCTCTGACGTAGGGTTCAGCTGTTCAAGGATGATCTGTACGTTTTCATACCTGTACCCTCCTGGCACGTGAGCATGATGAATGAGCATGTGAACCCAGGCAGAAAGTCTTGGGAGGTCAATGGAACCCGCGTTACATGGTGCTGGGCGCACACACAGGCTGCCTGCACTGGTTCCGTGATGATGGGCCCGAGGCGATTTTGGGCCAAGAGCGAGGACATTTGAGCCTTGCCGAGGTGCCTCATCCGCAGCCGCCTGTTCATCCGGCGTTTAGCGGTTTCGGGTTTAGCAAAATTTAGGGTTTAGGGTTTAGGGTTTAGGGTTTAGGGGTTAGGGTTGCGTGCGAATGATGCCTTACAAACATGCCCACGTTGAAAGGTATCAAAGATTGAATCCGTCATCGACGATGAGCCAGACACCAAGCGGCTGCTTCTGTGGGATATGCTGGGAAATCCTGCTCTCACGGTCCGAGCAAGCTCGGAAGTTGTAGAGGCATGGAAGAAGGTGGCCTGACTGGATGCCGGCCCGACTTATTGACCCAATAATCACTGTACTGAAAACCCAATTATAACCATATTAGGGCACTTAAGGGCTTATAAGTGGATTTTACACTCTGAGATAGAGAGCAACAACGGGATGCGGAGAAAAAGGAAAGAGCAAAGCAAATCCATACCAGCCTGCTAGACCAGCCAAGGCACTTTCCGCCGCTAAGATGCACAAGACGAACGTGAAGGAAGGTATGTTCACGTCCCATGGGTGGGTCGATGCCTCCTATTCTGAGTTCCTGGGAAGCACTCCAAGTGAGCATTGCGGCACTGCACAGTGAAGGGAGTAATGAACCAACCCTAAACCCTAAACCCTAAACCCCCCTTGGTTTTGACCAACACTCCTTCCATCCATGCGGCTACGCAACGTGATAAGATGTCAAACGCGCTGTAGCTGCACGTGACCTACTTGGAGTTATTCACCCAATATTAGTAGCTATACTTAGAACCCAATTGTAACCATATTAGGGCACCTATGCGGCGTAGAAGTGGGTTCTAAGTGCAGTTATAATTGGTGAATAAGTACCATGAACCTCCAAGTAAGTGGCGCATATGTGCACCATGGACCGGGCTGTCGGTAGGTGTCGTCCGCACCACACTTCCCGAACTAGAGCTGCCGACTTCATGATAATTCCTGCAAAGCCCGATACGATAAAGGCTCCTCTGTAGTACCGTTTTGGGGTAGCATACTAGAATCCCCCCATAACTGACCTAAAAAGGAACTACATGGGAGCCTTCAGGTAAGGCCTATGAACCCTAGGATGTTGTAGGGTTTGGGGTTTAGGGTTTAGGGTTTAGGTTTAGGGTTTTGGGTTTAGGGTTTAGGGTTTAGGGTTCAGGGTGATCGTGGGCAACCTGAGGCATGTCGAGCCACCGGAGCCGCTGGAGGTGGACACGTGCATCGAGTACGATGATACCAGGGTGCCCTTGATGGGCTTTGCCTTCGAGTCTCAAGAGACACTTGGGTGCTGAGTCTGAAACCTTTATGTGACCTTTTTTAAACCCTAAACCCGAAACCCTAAACCCGAAAGCCTAAACCCTAAACCCTAAACCCTAAACCCTAAACCCTAAACCCTAAACCCTAAACCCTAAACCCTAAACCCTAAACCCTATAAACCCTAAACCCTAAACCCTATTAAACCCCCCCTGAAACGACTCTAACACCCAGCCCACCCAGGACGGCTTCGGGCCCGCTCCAGTGCTTTGCGCTGGGTGCCCTGGGCACCTTGGCTGGGCCGAAGCTGAAGCTCAGGTGCCTGGTGATCTGCCGAGGCAGGCTCTTGCGCTTCGAACCACGCGAGTTTGCGCTGCTGGGCGAAGCGAAGGGCGAAGTGAAGCTGGCGACGTTGCAGAATGTCGCGCACCAGAACTCCTACGTGATCGCAGATCAGGCGCGCGTGAGGCTGATCTTCAAGACCCCCAACGCGCAGATGTGGGCGGCATGCCTGCGCAACGCAGACGCTTTTCTCTGCCCAAGCCCATGCGCGCAGGACGATGCGTCCAAGCCTGGCAGGTCTCATTCTAGGCTGGCGCGGCTCATGCGTGGCATGAGCAGCCTCGTCAAGCAGCACACACTTCCGTTGCTGTGGTGCAATGGCATTGTAGTGTTGGCATTGCTCTTACAAGGCTCCGTGTTTTTTTGGCTTTTCGTTCTTGCCTTGAACCTCCTGACGTGCTGGAAGACCGAATCTGACCTCCATAAGCCTGTCCAGTCGGCCACAGAGACATGCAGAAGTGATGAGCTTGACTTTGCAGCCTCCTTGCACCCCATAGCCGTCGGCTCCAACGCAGGGTGCGTGGAGGATGGTAAGGCGGAGGGCATTCTCGTGCGCTCACACGGCTACAGCACCCACAAGCAGAAAGAAGGATCCCAAGAGGCCATGTACGAGCTACGACGTGCATTTACTCTGGCAGCCCCTAGCACCTCCAAACACTCCCACGTTGCAAGGATTGGGCTTGAGGTGCTTGGGCTGGAAGCGCCGGCTCCATCCGATCTGCCAACGTACTGCATCGTCAACCTGCAAATCCCCGACGGGGCCCCAAACATTCTGCAAGGACACCGAAGTGCATGTGTTTGCAACATGTTGCGCGTGCTGCAACCTGTGCACCAGCACCCTATGCAGCATATAACTGTTGACCACGACGTGCCATCTCGGCACAGGGATCGAGCCCATAATGAACCCTATAAAGCGCCGGGATTACAGGGCATCATAGCAATACCATCATGAACCCTATAAAAAGGGATTTTCTAGGGTATAATAATGCCCATCCTGGCCATGCAGGAGCAGATGCCAAGTGCAGCTCAGCGATCTTTTGCTTTGCGGCCCGGGCCGGCACCGAGTCCGCGATCCTCGAGCCCGAAGGTCGTCAAGATCCTGCACTGCAACTACTACGCCGATTCTTTGTGTCATAGTTGGGTATGATTTTAATTAAAATTTCTAAGGGTGCTTAAACCCAGTAAGGAATAAAAAGTGGACTTTTAATATTATCCGAACCACGAACTAGGATTCTGCCGCTGCGCCGAAGACGACAACAAGATGAGGAACAAGCTCAAGGCACTCTGTCAAATTACTGACTCGAAGAACTCCATTCCATCTGTGTTGCAAAGCCTCAGCGGCAAGCCGGCTCTCCTTGGGAAGTCTGCAAAGATTTACACTGGCCCCGGCTACATTGAAATCGACATCGCACCTTCGGCAAGCATCAGGGGATGTCACTCCAAGAGCCCAGTACCCCCAAAGCAAGAGGGTTTTAGGGTTTTAGGGTTTTAGGGTTTTAGGGTTTTAGGGTTTTAGGGTTTTAGGGTTTTAGGGTTTTAGGGTTTTAGGGTTTTAGGGTTTTAGGGTTTTAGGGTTTTAGGGTTTTAGGGTTTTAGGGTTTTAGGGTTTTAGGGTTTTAAGGTTACATGCAAATCCAAAACAAGGTGCCCTATATGGTTTTGGTTGTTTTCCTTTTTTCAGGGCATCGGGCCCCCTCGGGTCAAACTGTTCCTATAGGCCATTTTGCCTTCACCCACTTGAAGCCTTGCTTGCTAAGGGTCCATGTACCTAGATAGGGAATGCTTGGGCCTTACAGTACCTCCTATTTCGGGCCTTTAGGGCCCAAGTACAGAACAATGAGGTACATGGACCCTTTCGGGTTGCTTGCTAAGGACATAAGTTCCTGCGCCTACGTGAATCGCTTGTCCCTCCATCAGATGCGGAGCCAGCTCGGCTCTTTGCAGCTGGATTTCGCGCTCATTATCCAGGGCGACTCAGATGCCGAGTTGCCGGAACGATTCCTGGACTTATCATCCTGGCTCTTGTTCGATGGCTGGAAGTCAAGGAAGTGGCACATGCTTGTATGCAGCGCGGAGTGAGCACAGAAGAGCAACTTGCACCATGCCAAGGAGTGTGGGCATCTTCAACGCTTCGCTTTGTGGACCTGGACGAGATCATGAATGCGCCAGTGAGCCAGGGCCCTCTTCAGAAACAGTCGGAGACGACCTCCTTGCACAAACGGCCTCCTGCGTCTTTCTTTGACTGACTTGTTTGCTAGAGATGAGCTTCTACCCCCTAAGGATCCCTATATAGTATAAACTTGGGCCCTAAAGCTACTATATAGGGACCCCTTTAAGGCCAAAGTATATACTATATAGGTACACGGATCCTTAGGGTTTGCCTGAAGAAAGCGGGACAGACCAGTATGTTGCCGACTGACCGGCCGCTGCAAAACGTTGCTGTTGTGTCGTGCATGCTACCTGAAGGCTCCAACGTAGTTCTTGTTGTTGCGTTAGTTCTAGGGATTCTAGAACACCACCCCAAAAAGGCACTACATAGGAGCCTTTAGCTCGAGTTCTTTCAGCACGTTCCACGATAAATCAGCTCCCACCATGTTCTTCAGATGATCCTCGTCACTACGCGTTCCGGCTCCTGCGGCTCAACGCTGGAGCGGGGGGGTTCCTTATTGGGTTCCTCATTGTAAGGGTTTCACCATTTGTGGGGCATTTTAGGCTACCCTGTTTTCGTAAACCCCCCATATACATATACATATATACAAATATATACAGATTTATGTACAAATTAATATTCAGATACACTTTCATTCTAATGTGGTACAACAGCGTGACCTCCTAGTGCCACACTGGTGCAATCGGCGAGTGGCGCGGATGCTTGCACCTGCAAACCACGAATCCCGATCCCACGTTCACAAACCGCATGTTCGCCGGAGCAAGCCATGCGAAAACCCTAAACGGCGGCAGTTCAATCAGCTCAGACCAGCTACAGAAATCTGCACGAACTCATCTAGCACATGCTTCGGCCATGCGATCCTCAGTGTCATGGTGCAGCGGGCATCCGTTCTGCTTGAGGTTTGGGTAACAATCTCGAGTTTAGGGTCGCTGGCGTCGGATGCCAAGAAATGGTGAACCCTAAGCCCTAAACCCTAAACCGGTCATGGAAGGCATGCTGGCGAACGGCATCGTTGTTGTCGACAGCCACGACCATGGTACGGAAGCCAAATAATATGAGTTGATTCGGATGCAAGCCTTCAGGTGAGGATGAGGATGTCATCATCACGGGTGAGTCTGCTCCACCTCGGTCTTTCCAAGGACCACCGTGCATGTGGAATTCTCTCCTCCCAGCCTCTCTTTTAAAGCAATCCCGCAAGGCTTTGCCTTGATACCCAAAGAGCCCAATACCCCTTAAGGAATATACTGCCTTAGGTACCTTAAGGATGCTTTTATAGTTTTTGTAAGGTATATTCCTTTAATATGGTGTATTGGGCTCTCTGGGTATGTCTTGAGACTAGGAAAGGCGGCCAAAATTCGCAAGCGTCTGGCCCTCGGCAGTCGCGGCTCGAGAGGCTACATTGTGCCGAGCTTAACTATAAGGCCGCATGCACACGAGGGTCATGCAGCCGTTATCAGCTGCATTGGCTCAAGGTGCTTTAGCCTAACTATGTCCGCCGTCTGGTGGGCGATAATTAGTTGGCCCCAGCGCAGCACATGTTGAACCACTGATGGTATTCGTATCCTATAGCATGATAGTGTCATTATACCATATGAATATAGCACTACCATGTAATTTGTTTACGACTAGACCCACCCGAAGGGTCCACGTACCTCATTCTCATGTACTTGGGTCTTAGAGTCCCTAAATAGGAGGTACTTTAAGGCCCAAGTATTCCCTATCTAGGTTCATGGACTCTTAGGGCTGTACCATTACAAGAAGATTTCCTGAGCAAGCGGCAAGCCTGGCCATGTCGCTCTTGGCAGCAGACCTTGAAAAGCTCTCTGCCCGCTCCTCATTTGACAGTTCCGAACTCCTAACGGGGCCCAAGCAGCAAGTGCAAGCTCTTGCGTGCACTGCTAAGCCTTAGACCCTAGACCCCTAAAGCCGCAACCCTAAGCCCTAAATCCTAAGCGCCCTAAACCCCTAAACCCCCTAAACCCTAAACCCAAGCCTGGGGAGCAAAGCCTTGCAAAGCCTTGCATTTTGTAAGGTGGCAGACCTGAAGAAGCGACTCTTCTGGGCTGGTGCCTCCCTTCCTGACGGCCATCTTGAGAAGGTGCTACAGTCACCCCACGACAGGGCTAGGGTTAAGGGCTTACGTTTTAGGGATTAAGGTTTCGGGTTTACCAGCACCCCTTTGACCATAGTAGGGTATATCAGCCCCCTGAATTCAAAGGGTAGTTGGGGGGTGCAGGAACCCAGAGGGCCCAGCTGCAGTACTGTTCTGGAACAAGGTGCCCAGAAACCATACTGACTGCTTCGTTCTTGCTGTTCTCGGCTAGCCCATGCCAGCATAGCACTCCAAATAGACCCTCTCGGTCTTGTGCCTTGCTTGGCTGTTGACCCTGGGAGGCGGACCTCATAAGTGTCGTCAAGAAAGCTGAAGCCGAGAAGTCTGAAAAGGTAGCCCAGGAGCTCGGTGTGGCGCATGCAGGTTTGAAAGGATGTTAAGGAACTCGCAGGAGGAGCCCTTATAAGGGACCAAAAAGGCTTATATAGGGAAATCAGATTCAGGGTCCCTTCTAGGGGTCCCTCCTTATATCCCTTAAGATGTGCTTCTGTTGCTTTGCTTTCGTCTTCAAGCATGCAAGCATGCTGTTCAAGTCCCGCTTCGAAGGGCGCAACTGGCAGGCTGAAGAGAAGAGGGCGGAAGAAGCAAAGGGAGTCCCCAGGCCGGACCCTAAACCGCTGGACTTCGACAACATCCCCTGCCCGGACGATGAGAAGCAGGCGGAAAGCCGGCACAGGGAGAAGGGTGCGTGCTTCTTGTGGGTTGGGGCACTTTGGGCGTGGCGTGAACTCGGGGAAAGCTTGGGTAGAGTTTGCTCTGCATCGCGAGAAGCAACAGCTTGAAGCAGCCGCTGGGTCCTGCCTGCCCTTACCAGGATGGGCTATTCGGCCTTAGAATCCCCATCATGAACCCTATAAAGGGCTTTTTAAGGGATTATAGGGTATAATAGCCCTAAACCCTAAACCCTAAACCCTAAACCCTAAACCCTAAACCCTAAGCCCATCCTGGTAGATTGTGGAGCTCCATCTCCTCACGGAGAAGCAGCTGCGTGACCGGATCGAGCAGGAGCCTCTCTCCCAAAGTTCGCCAGACATTGTCCTACTTGGAGGTTCATGGTACTTCTTCACCCAATTTAGGGTTTAGGGTTTAGGGTTTAGGAATGATATCTGCACTTATAACCCACATGTAAGCCCCTTAAGTGCCCCACTATGGTTATACTCATAATTGGGTTAAAAGCACAGGTACTACTGGATGAATAAGTACCATGAACCTCCAGGTAGTTTGCCCAAGTGGGCGGTGGCCTTGTTCTGAGAAGCTGGCAGGCCGGGCACGACATACCGAAGGGCGAGCCCAGCAAGCACTACCTGGTCGCCCTCTGCCGGAAGGCCATGAAGGACCCCCGGGAGCCGAAGCCCAAGAAGCAGGAGCCAGCAGAAAACGAAGCTGAGTAGTAGAGTAGGTAACCTTGTACTTTTTTGGGATATTAACAACAATCCCTATAACATTCCCAAAGGTTAACCTTTAACTCCTCTAGGTTACTGGACAACTAAGGAAGAGCAGGAGGAGGAAGCCGTGGCGGCCTATCGAAGACCGACAATCGGGGACAGGGTGCAGATCCGAGACACCATGATCATGAAGCGCTACCTGCCGGAAGCCATCGGCAAAGTGTTCCGAATCTTCAAAGATGATGGTGGGGCATTTCCGTACAGACTTGCAGGTGTGGGGGAGCAGCGCCACTGGTTCAGTGAGGATGACATCTGCTGGCCAGTGAAGAAGGCTCAGAAAGCTTTCGCCCCTAAGCAGGCTACGAAAGCTAGGCCAGACAACCAGCCGGAGAAGGTTGTGATAAATCACAATAGGTACGGCTGCACTGCTGGGGAGGTTCGAGATGTGCTCGGTGAAACCGCTGACAAGAGGAACTGGGTGCTTAGTGGCGGTCGCCAGGTACCCAAACTCCACGAAGGGAGTGGCTGGAGCCGCAAGGTGGAGGCTTCAATTTGCGACGCGCGCCCGCCGCCGCCTCCAGCGGGTTCCGTCCGCCGCACGCAGCCCGCTGCACCCGTGTCCCTCAGCGAAGAGGAGATGTTCGCGCAGATGGAGGAAATGCAGGCGCAGCTCGATGCAGAGGAAGCGGCTCAGGTAGAGGCAAGCGCTCAGAAGGAGCCAGCAGCAGCCCCGGTGGCTGGCGCACTGGAGGAGCCCGCCGAACCCAAACCCGAGCCCATACCCACGTCTCCCACACCAGAGGTCCCAGGGAAGGCAGCGCCGGGTGAACCACCAAAGCCAATTCCTCAGAAGGAACCAGCTGGCGAGGGCAAAGGTGACGTCCGTCAGGCCTTGGCAAACTGGCACAAGCTCGTGCCTTTCTGGAGAAGAGTTGAAGGATGATCTATATATGGTTTCTTACGTAAGATCACATGATGATATGTAAGACGACTAGGTGAGGCAACCAGCAGCTTTGTCGATCATCTGTGGGAGCTTGTTTTAGTACAGCTCGGCACTATTCGTAGCAATATCACATATGGCACTCAGTAGCAAGAGTAGCTCATCCCAAAGGGTCCATGTACCTATGTACTAGATACTTTGGCTTTAAAGGGGTTCCTATATAGTAGCTTTAGGGGCCAAGTATACACTATATAGGTACATGGACCCTTAGGGTCATGGCAATAATGAAGCCGCTGTTCCTGGGGAGGCTACGGAGCCCGCCACCAACGGAGCCAGCGTCGAGAACCCTGGCGAGGAGAGGAGGAAGCGCAAGGCGGAAGAGAGGGCCAAGGCACAAGCTGAAGGCTTGGGGCCCTACCATTCCGTGCAACCCATGTGCTGCCATGCTCGTTTGGGGAGTACCATGCATTCCGATTGTATTCTATATTATATGATTATATAATTCTTACCCAAACATTACTACATATGAAGGGAGAGATGGAGGTTGCTGCCCAGCACAGGGGCCTGATGATTCTGCCTAAACCCTAAGCCCTAAACCCTAACCCGCCCCCAAGGTGCTGCACGTCGCCTGGCGAGGCGGCAGCGGAAGGAGCAGACAGCCTCAGCTCAGACAGCTGCAAGCGTGCCTTGGGGGACCCATATGAACCCCAAAAGGGTTTAGGGTTTTTAAGGTTTAGGTTTTAGGGTTTAGGAAAACATGGGGTCATGTATCCTCTACAGCTATAATCCCTAAATTCGGGTATATGAACCATAAACTCTTTAGGGGTTCATATGTGGTCTCAAAGGTGGTTAGCGATGACGAGGTGGAGGAAGTGACCGATGCTTGGCACATTGGGACACTGGTTGGTGTGAAATGACGGACCCGAAGCGTTTAGGGTGTTTTTTTGCTCCCGCATAGCCGGCCGAACCGCAGGCAGGGTTAATGGTTCAGGGTTTAGGGTTTAGGGTTTCGGGTTTAGGGTTTAGGGTTTAGGGTTAGCTGTATGCCTGATGACTAAGGCTTGTGCAGACGCGACCATCTCCATAGATGACTGACAACGCCGAAACAAGTCCGGATGCATTCTTGAGCTTGTTCTATTGCACTTTGGGGGTGGATTCGGAGCAGCTTGCATCTAGCACGCGGGTCCCTCTTATGCCACGTGGCCCCAAGGCCACAGCAAAAGGAAGAAGAAGAAGGTGCTCGAGGGATCAGTGCCTGGCGCAGTGGGTCTCCGCCATGCCCCGCCTGCTTGGCAAGGCCAAAAAGCGCCGAAAGATGAAAGCAGCGGCAAGGCCGAACCAACTCGTAGGGTCTAAGGTTTAGGGTTTAGGGTGTGTAGGGCTTCTTGGTGCCCTTGCTTGCAGAGACGGCCGCAGGGCTGCCCCTGCGCAAGCTCCTTCGGAAGCACGGCCCGTTCCGAGGCAGTCTGACGCGCGCGAGTGCAGCATTCAGCTACTATTCGCTTAAGAACCCCAGAAGAGTTTAAAAGAAACTATCCCTATATTACCCTTAGTAAGGAAGAATCGTTTTTAATTTTTCAGGGTTCTTAAGCAATTAGTAGACTCGGTTCATGCTCAGATGCCCACAGGCCCGATCCGAGAAGTGGCCGTCTAGAAGGACAAAACCAGGTGCGCGGCCTCAGCGCCGTGTTGCTGCCAGCTGGGGAACCAGGTACTTGGAGGTTCATGGTACTCATTAACCCAATTTAGGGTTTAGGGTTTAGGGTTTAGGGTTTAGGGTTTCGGGTTTAGGGTTTAGGGTTTAGAGTACTTATTAAGCAATGATAACTGTGCTTATAACCCACTTATAAGCCCCTGAAGTGCCCTAATATGGTTATAGTTGGGTTACAAGTACAGTTACTATGGGGTTAACAAGTACCATGAACCTCCAAGTAGCAGATGGCACAAATTCATGGCGCAGCATGGAACCCCGGAATTCTCCTCGCTTGCGCTTGTTGAGCACCCCTGTTTGCTCGGGAAATGCCCTCGGCCCTAGGCCCCGGAAGCCTCAAACCAGAAAGCCCTAAACAGCATGAAGCACCCTCTCAGGGGGGGGGGGGGGGGTAAGCAAAAACAAAACATCTGGCCAAAAAGCCTCTTGGGGCATTGCAAGAGGGGGGCGAATTGAGGGAAGCTGCCCAATTCCTTTAGGGTTTAGGGTTTGGGGTTTAGATAGGGTTCAGGATTTAGGGCCGCCACAGGCTGAAGAGGCCGACGTGTTTGGAGCGTCTGCGGAGATGCTGCACTCTCGTGCGGGAACCTCTGCCAACTCAAATGGTTGGGTCAGTTGGGTTACTTGGAGGTTCATGGTACTGTTTGACCAACAAAAACTGCACTTATATTGTGCCCTAACATGGTTAAAATTTGATTATAAGTACAGATATTCTTGGGTTAAGTACCATGGACCTCCGAGTAGGCCCCTATACAGTGACAGTCTTAAACCCTTATGTGCTTTAAATGTCAGAGGGCATTTTCATGAACCGCTTGTAGCTATCGCAGAACTGTATTGGGGGGCCTAACCACATCCATGTGCTCCTGGCTCATCTAAACCCTAAACCCTAAACCCTAAACCCTAAACCCTAAACCCTAAACCCCGAGGTTCGTGCTGCCAAAGAGTTCCCAGCAGCCATCTGCACGGCATGCTTTCGTCCATTGGCAGCCGCCGGACCTGAGGCGGCTGTGTGCTCAACTCAGGCCGTCCATAGGGGCTCGTTTGGGACGACTTCGGGGAACATGTTTTATTTATATACATGTATATATATATATATATTTATTTATTTATTTATTTATTCATTTATTCATTTATTCATTTATTCATTTATTAATTTATTCATTTATTCATTGACTCATTTATTCATTTCTTCTTTTATTCTTTTATTCTTTTATTCATTTATTTATGTGTGTTTTCTATTTGTTTACATATGTATATATATATATATATTTATTTTTTTGTGTTTATATTCACATCTATATTGATATCTATATCGATATTTATATTTATATTTATATTTATATTTATATTTATATTTATTAGTATTTCTTCTTCTTATTATTATTATATATATATATATACATAAATATAAACAAATAAATAAATATATATATATATATATATATATCTATTGGAGCCTACTGGGGCTGTAAGATGAGGGTTCCCCATTATGGAGAACTGGCCAGACGACTCTGGGCCTTCCTTGTGGGAGCATGAGCATCAAAACCCGAATCCTCCGCACTCGAGAGCGACTCGGCCAGAGCACGGCGCACGGCTTGCTGAGGGTCGAGTTTCGTCGGCCTGGCCTGTCGGAGTCCTGCCAGGGTCTCAGGTTGTCCTGACACAATGTGCAAGACCTGAAAGGGCCGGCTGGGGCCTTAAAGTGCCTCCTACTTAGGGATGTTAGAGCCCAAGTACATAATACCTGTACCCGAAACCCTAAACCCTAAACCCTGAGGGTATTGCAACATCTGCGTGACCAGAGGTCGGGTTCACGCACAGATCCGATGTTTGGCATCCGCTGGCCTGCTGCATGCCAGCCCCGTGGGCCAGGTGCGGCATGCTCAGGGTTTAGGGTTTAGGGTTTAGGGTTTAGGGTTTAGGGTTTAGGTTTAGGGAGACTTTCTCATCATAGCAGTGCTCAGGGTGAGCATGTATGGGAAATCACCGTACGAGTTTCATCAAAAGCACGAGCTCCATTATAATCGTACCAATAGCACTAGTACTCATCGATGCCATGCAAGCAATAGAAGTAACGCCATAGCAACATAAGCGAAATATGTCAATGTACATGGTTACTACTAGTATGAAAGGTGAATAGCAAGGCCACAAAGTAACGTAAGACTAGCATTCGGACTAATCTCAGAAATCATAGCAACAAGAGTAGGAATCCGCGAACATCGTAATCATAGTACTGAGAGAAACAGTAGTACGAGTATCAACAGTTCATACTAATAGCAGTAGTAAGAATCAACTAGACCCAAGATCCGAATCTCTATACCCTGCACCCCTAGGTCCGAATCTTTATAACCTACACCCTCAATCCCATGTTTCCTGAGAGAGTCCTGCTTGAAAAGCCTGTGGAAACTTCGTAACTTACTGCCTGATGCTAGTAGCAAGGGTAGCAGTAGCAGTATGATTAGCAGCAGTAGTAGATGTAACTAGCGGACGCCAAATTGCGGAAATCAAAACCATCCTTAGACCAGACAAGGTCTTTCATAAACAAGGTTTGGCATAAGCAAAGTGTTGTCTTCCGTTAGGTAGCGTAAGCAATTCTGGGACAGCATTGTTGCCGCAAGCGCCGTAAGCTGCTGCTGCCGGCGCAAGCAGAAAAAACCCAGAGAGTTGTCGCAAGCCAAGCTGCCCGAAGCATATGTTTGACCCCGAAATGCAGTGGGATTAGCTTAGTAGTAGAGTAAATAACCTTTAACCTTTTTGGGGCAATATAATCCCCTGAAAATCTCGAAGGTTAACCTTTACTTCCCCTAGGTACTGGACAACTAAGTTAGGGTTTTGGGCACCGCTCAGTTCATGTACTCTGAGTAGCTCCACGATGTGCCCCATGTTCAGAAGTCGGTTTTTAGATTGAACCCACCAGAACTCTGCTTACCACTCAGGGTTGTCTGTCTGCTCGGCCCTACCATGCCCTACCCTTAAGGGTCCATGTACCTCATCATTATGTGCTTGGGCCCCAAAATCCTTAAATAAGGCCCAAGTAGTCCCTCTATAGGTACATGGACCCTTATAGCCCTAGACCCTAAACCCTAGAGTGTGAGCGTCTAAACCCTAAACCCTAAACCCTAAACCCTACCCTTGAAGGTGCTTCCGACTGGATCAAGGGCCAAGACTGATCCCATGCAAGGCTCTCAGGGCATACCCAGTCCCTCGCATGATTAGTTAGCTGAGATACTTGGAGGTTCATGTAACCAATTCTAACTGTACTTAGAACCCACTTAGAAGCACCTTAAGTGCCCCAATATAGTAATTATAAGTACAGTTATGAGTACAGTTGTAGTTGGATAACAAGTACCATGAACCTCCAAGTAGACTTCTGTAGCCGAGGCAAGGTTCCAGCACGCAAGGCAGGATCCCAAGCTTTCTGCAGACAGTCTCTCCGCCACTCATTTGGCTCGGACCACTTCCCAAAGGGTCCATGCAACCATATAGTATATGCTTGGGCCCTAAAGCTACTATATGAGAACCCCTTTCTGGCTCAACTATCTGCTACATGGGTACATGTACCCTTAGGGTTCCTGACAGGTGTGCTAAGATCACTTCAGCGGCAGGCACGGCAGGTGAATCTGTCGTGTTCTTGCAGAACGCGTGGCTGTTACTGTGCGGAGGAGCAGTCGGTCCATGTGGCTCGGGCTCCGCGCTTGCCAAATGCAAGGCATCATGCGGATGCAAACGAAGGGCATTTGTGGACTCCTGGACAGCATGAGCGTCCGCCATCAGTGCCTCCATTCCATTCCATTGCCCTCCAACGCACGTCTGACTGTTTCAGGTCACTGGCTGCTGCCAGACAAATGGCCGTAGCGGCTTGCCTCTTAGCAACACATCGCATGAGATCACGTCTCACCACGCGGTTGCCAGAGTGAGAGGCGGCGCTGCGCACAGTACGTCGCGCGGCTCGCGATGCAGCCGACGAGGCCCTTGAGGACATGCCACTACGGAAAACTGGGTTGTGGGATGATTTTCAATTTCCCTTCTTTCCTTACAAGGGAACGTATTCATCAACAGTTTTCACAGGCTTTTAAGCACAACCCAGATAACCATGTTGGGGCACTTTAAGGGGCTTATATGTAGGTCATTAGTACAGATCTACTTGGTTATTAAGTACCGTGAAACTCCAAGTAAGGATGCATGGCGAAAGGTGAAGTCGGACTTGCCAAGCAGCTTTGCATGCTCGAGCGCCCAGGCCGTCTCAGGTCAGCATCGCCGACGCCAGGCACACTTGGAGCTTCAGGGTACTTATTGACCCAAGAATAATAACAATAATAATCATAGTAATAATAGTATTACTAATCATAATAAAAAATCATAATAATAATTGTAATCGTAATAGCTGCACTTATAACCCAATTATTTGGTTAGTAAGTACCATGAACCTCCCAGCATGGTTCACGCTGCGTGTGTTTCCCGACCGTCGACTAGCCAGCCATGGTGCAGGCCCGCGACGATCGGCCGAGGCCGGACTGTAGTTCATACCCAGAGAGCCCAATACCACTTAGTTAGGGTAGTTAGGGGATAGACCTGAATTTATATAGGGAACCATAATATGGTTTAAGGAATGTTCCTTAATTAAGGGGTAGTGGGCTCTTTGGGTACGTGTTGCCATGCCTGAGCTTAAAGAAAGTGTTGACTGAGGCCTGCTGAAAGAAGCAGGCTGCTGGCCTGTTTCGCATCACCAGAAGAGAGCTACCTGAAAGCTCACCGACCATTCCGTCAACTGTAGCCTTGGTTTCCTTTCTTCTTCTTCCACTATCACTGGGTTTAGGGTTTAGGGTTTAGGGGTTTTAAGGTTTAGGGTTGGTGTGAGCCTCACTTTCCCGGCAGCTGTGCAGACCTGGTTGTAAAAGGGTTTAGGGTTTAGGGCTTAGGGCTTAGGGTTTAGGGTCACTGAGCTTTGAAATCATGTCTGCCTCATGACGCGCAGTACTGGTACCAGGACCTCGCCACTCTTTGAGGCTCTTCTGGCAGCCCTGTCCTCAGCCCCCAGCTGCTGTTGAATGCCGCACCCTAAACCCTAAACCCTAAACCCTAAACCCTAAACCCTAAACCCTAAACCCTAAACCCTAAACCCTAAACCCTAAACCCTAAACCCTAAACCCTAAACCCTAAACCCTAAACCCTAAACCCTAAACCCTAAACCCTAACCCTAAACCCCCTAGACCCGGGTGTGCCGAGGCTCTGCCGCCAGCTGAAGAACCGACCCGGCACGAGATCCCCAAAGGGGAGCGTTGCGCTGTCGCACTGGCTTCACTTCTTGGCTTGTCGGGTTTAGGGTTTAGGGTTTACGGTTTAGGGTTTAGGGTTTAGGGTTTAGGGGTGCTTAGTGTTTGCAAGATCTTGGATGAGCATTCATATGCATGTATATATCCATATACACATGCAATTCAAATTGGGTTTATTTCACGAGAAAGTGCGTGTGTATGCATATGCGTTATGGATAGATAGGTATGTCTAGTTGTTTCATTCTTTGTATTCACGTAGAAACGGCACGCCCATATACTAGGTGTATCGGCACTTGCTTAGGGCACGCAGGCCTGCCGCTGTGATGTCCAGAACCTGGTCCAGTTTTGTTGCTTCGTGCAACTTGAGGACGCTCCAGCGCCCGATGGTGCATTTGCTTGTGGATGGAAATGATGGAACCCTAAACCCTAAACCCTAAACCCTAAACCCCTAGCTGTCCGTCCTTCGAGAGTTCTATAGCTGTCTGTCCTTCGAGAGTTCCACATATGGGAGGTTTCAGATAGTACTTCTGCTTGATGTGGACCCTCGCTCGAGCCAGGTCTGCCACGGCAAACTTCTGCGCAAGGGACGGAAGGCTCTGACCTATAGGGTTTAGGGTTTAGGGCTAGGATCCTTATTCTGATTTCAGGAGTAGTCTTTCATTAACGGGTTTGGCAGTTTTTGGCAGTTTTGGCCCACTTCATGTCAGTTGTACGACTGGAGTAGGATTCAGGTGCACGAAGTCATTGGCTGGACATTCTGCCCTTACCTGGATGGTCTATTATACCCTGTAATCCCTTAAAAGGCCCTTTGTAGGGTTCATTAGAAGGCCTAACAGCCCATCCTTGCAAAATCTGGCAGATCCGACGCCTGCCATGTGGCCACATCTTTCACGATGCTGGCGCCCGAGCGTGATTCTTGCGTTGCAGCCCCCGAAGTTCTGGACCAGACCTATACTTGGAGGTTCATGTTTACTTACTAACCAATTCTAACTGTACTTATCACTCACTTAGAAGCCCCTTACTTAAGTGCCCTAAGATTGCTTATAAGTACACAAATTAGTACGGTTACAATTGGTTGATAAGTACCCTGAACCTCCAAGTATAGGGTTCGTGGATTGAGCCAGCTGGCTCCAGGAGCTTTACGGTTCGAGTGTGAGAGCCGCGTGCAGAATGAGGGGTTTAGTGTTTAGGGTTCAGGGTTCAGGGTTTAGGGTTTCCGGTTTAGGGTTTAGGGTGAGGCCACAAATTCAGCAAATATCTACAAACCTTCGTGCCGAAGACAGCAAGGAGTGCATTCTTCCATGGCTTCAGAAGCGCACCATTTGCCCTCTCGACCGCCGTTCGCAACCCAGTTCTCTTTTGGCCTTTTGCAAGGGCTCTTGGAAGTACGGGCTGGCTCTGTAAGGGACCAAAGGTGACGGACCGACCATGTAGCTTTAGGGTTTAGGGTTTAGGGTTTAGGGTTTGGGGTTTCGGGTTTGGGGTTTAGGGTTTAGAGTTTAGGGTTTAGGGTGTAGGGTTTAGGGGTACTTGGTATGTTTGCCAAGAGCAAGCTAAGCTTTGCAGGTCTCTAGTTGGCCCATGCAAGATGCCGCTCAGGCGACCTGTCGGAGATGGTCCAGGCTGACAGGTGGGTGTACTCACTGTTGGTTAGTTGGGAATGAGGGAAGGAGGTACCCTATAGAATCCCTTGAAAGGTATATATAGGCCCTATAGAATCCCTTAAAGGGTACATATAGGGGTATAAAATTATAGGGGGATATAGGGTACCTCATTCCCTCATTCCCTACTAACCAACAGTTTGCCTAGTCCCTGAACCCTAAACCCTAAACCCTAAACCCTAAACCCTAAACCCGGCTGGCCGGGCTTAAGATGCGGCCTCAATGAGAGGCCGAAACGAGATGCCTCCTGGGTCGCGACAATGGTCAGCCGAGCCCCCGTGTGTCTCCACATGCCTATGGGTTCAGGGTGTAGGGTTTAGGGTTTAGGGTTTAGGGCTTAGGGTTTAAACTACTGGCCTACAAAAAGCATGGCTGCTGTAACAGAGGTACGGAAAGGTCCCAAACCACAAACTGGCCACTTGGAAGTCCAGGGTGCGTATTAACCCAATAATGACTGTACTTGCTGACTGTACTTATAACCCAATTATGACCACACTATGGCACAAGTACCCCTAAACCCTAAACCCTAAACCCTAAACCTGCTACCAAGCAAGCCCCTCTCCTGGAATGCAGCTGTAAGCATAGAATTGTCATAACGCAGTCCCAACCGATTCCCGAGCCGTGGATGTTCCCTCCCCTGTATAACCATGTAGCTAGTTTATGGTGTGACTGCTGTTAGCAAACACCCGAGGTAACCTGGCGAGGGACGGTAAGGCTTAGTATGTACAAAGCGGACGAGTGTTGAGGTAGCGACCCCCCCATACGTGATGATGTTTGCGTAGTGTTCGGCCATACTGGGATTCTCTACTTTCTTCAGCATATGAACAGGGATCGTGAGGTCAGGCTCATGCTCTCTCCGAGGGTGGGCCATTGGAGGCCTGACAGCCCTCGAGGAAAGCCTGGCAACCCTAGGTTCTGACCGGGAGGGATCACCAGCCTTCACTGTGAATCTTTTTGTGCTATTGACGTGGTTTTTCGGCTTTGGGGCTGCTGATGCTGATCTCTCCTGAACGAACCCAAACTGTCAATTTCCTACCCTGAATGCCTGCAAGGCGATATCCCTTGACAGCTGCCGTGTAGCTGATAGGGTGAGTTTTCCCACTTATCTGAGCATTTTCCCCGCATTGCTGTGGCTAGTCGGGTGGCAAAAAAAACCCTAAACCCTAAACCCTAAACCCTAGCCCTAAACCCCCCTAAACCCATGAACCTTCCAGCAGGGTGTCTATCGCCGCCTGCCACCCGAGGTCGAGAAGGCCAGGCAGATGACGAGACCGAGGTGGGATTTTAGGGGTTTTAGGGTTTAGAGGGTTTATAGGGTTTATAGGGTTTAGAGGGTTTATAGGGTTTATAGGGTTTATAGGGTTTTATAGGGTTTATAGGGTTTATAGGGTTTATAGGGTGTGGGGTTTATAGGGTTTATAGGGTTTACAGGGTTTATAGGTTTTATAGGGTTTATAGGGTTTATAGGGTTTATAGGGTTTATAGGGTTTATAGGGTTTATAGGGTTTATAGGGTTTATAGGGTTTATAGGGTTTATAGGGTTTCCGAGGTGGGTCAGAAGGGCTGGGAAAAGACCTTAGCTCAACCGACTGAACAATGTTATCGAGTTTGTCGGATTTATAGCTTTTGGGTTTATAGGGTTTGTCGGGTATCTTGCAGGGTTTATATGGGGTGTTTACAGGGTTTATAGGGTTTAAGGGGCTTATGGGGTTTAGGATGGTGGCTGCATTCGTTTCTGGCTGCATGCAAGCACAGCTGACCGTGCGAGCCGCGATGCTGTTGCAGGCGATGGGCTCTCAGGAGCTTCCTGGCGACCTCCCGATCCTCATCGAATGAAAAGTTGCAAAATATGGGGGTTCTCCGAACAGGGGGGGTACCCTTTTCGGGAGGGGGGGGGGGGTCCCTTTAAGGGGGTTCTATTCCATTTGAGGGTATAAACGGGGTACCACTCTTTTGGGAATTGCCCGTAAATTAATTCAGGGTCCATGCGTTGCAGAAATCGCCGTTTTTGTAGCAATGTCAGAGAACATAGGGTTTAGGGTTTAGGGTTAACCCTTTAAGGTATCTACTATATAGGTACATGGACCCTTTGGGTGATGCTTCAAGCTCAGCCGCTTGGCTCGTTCTTGGGGGGCGCCCTTCCCTCTATCGCTACCACACGTATCAGGCTCGGACATGGAGACACATCGGGGGTTTACAAAAACAGGGGCCCCCCAATATAGATCCCAAATAGTAGGATTTCCATGTATACCCCTAACATCGTAATCCCCCCACAGTCGGGAGATGTGCAGGGAAAAAAGCCATATTAACAAAGACAAATATAATGATCATAAGGAATAATAATCATAATCATAATAATCATTACAAAAATAACAATACTGATAATAATCATATTAGTAATTATTCTAGCAAATTTCAATAAGAAGAATAAGAAGAATAATAATAGTAATAGCAATAATAACAATAGTAATAAGAATACTAATCACACCACAGGGCAGTTTCCACTGAATGACACCCTGCCCGCAGATAACGGAGAAGTCGCAGAGTTCGTATTTATGGCGGCGGCCCCAGGTTTCGCAGCTCTCAAAACCCGTGCGTGGGTTTAGGTTTTAGGGTTTAGGGTTTAGGGTTTAGGGTTTAGGGTTTAGGGTTTAGGGTTTAGGGTTTAGGGTTGCATTGGTGACATGAGGCAGTCTCAAAGCTGCTGCTCCTTTTCGGCTTGTTTGGTAGATCCTGGTGCCTGGCCGGTTCCTCAGCCATCCAGACTTTGCCCCGAATTGGGCGGGCGACCGCATCGCTCAAAAAGACCTGTTAGTAGTTATAGTACCCCTAAACCCTCAACCCTCAACCCTCAAACCATAACCCTAAACCCTTGAGGTTCCGAAAGCCAAAGGCGGCAGCTCGAGCCAAGACGTTGTCTCATCCGATGCCCTCAAAGCAGGGAGGAGCCCAGAGCACGTTTGGGTTTTGGGTTTAGGGTCCCCAGAAAACCCTAAACACGAAGCCCAGAAATGGTCCCTCCTGGCAGGAAGTATCTCATCGCCTCCTTCCCGGCCTTGAAGCAAGTGGGCTACACGATCCTTCCGGACAACGTGTGGCGACCCCTGGTTCTAGGCCTGGGGTTTGGTGTGGGTTTTTATGTAGGTTTAGGGTTTAGGTTTAGGGTTTAGGGTTTAGGGTTTAGGGTTCGTATAGCAGGTGCTTGGTGGCAGGGTTTCTTGTGCCAACTCCCAGTGCAGGTGAGGTCCAAAGCCCCACCGCCATTGCCGTTGATCCGCTTTCCTCGAGAATGTTTGTAGCAGCCGGGCCCTCAGGAACTCTTCTTGACTAAGAATACGACCGCTAGTACAAAACATCATAGTCGCCTTGACGATGATATTTTGTGTACCGTCGCTCGTATCATATATGTATATATATATATATATACATACATATGTATATGTAGATATGTGTGTGTACATATTTGGTCATTTATAATACTGCATATATATATATATATATAACATATCGATTTCTGTTATACATTACATACTAGCTGGCTTTATGTAGTAGACCACGTCAAAAAACGCATCCTGGTCTGAGGATCCACCTCGAGGTGTGATTTGGTGGTACCAGCTGGGCACCGGGACCGCTTTTCCTTGACCATCCTGCGCCGTCAGGGAGTGACCAGTAGGCCTTCAACCCTTTGGGGTTTAGGGTTTGGGGTTTAGGGTTTAGGGTTTTAAAACGGTTTAGGGCGTTCACGACAATAAGGGGCCCCTGGTGTAAAGTCCCCAAGAGTAGGATTCCCTCATAATGAGGACCCCAACAAGGTGCCCCTAATTTCGGAAACCCCCTTTTAAACCCTAAACTTGGGGGCAGGAGCAACGGAATGCTTCAAACAGTTGGACGGCAGCGCGCCGCCGTCGAAGGCTTCAGCGCGAGTCTGCCTGAGTTGTTGCAGCACCAACAGCAGACCCTTAGGGTCCATGGTCCACGTGCCCTTATTGGCGGCTTTTCCCAAAGGGACTAGCTCATAACCCTAGACAACCCGCGCCGCGACTAAGTCACTGGTTGGCTGTCAATGGAGCCGGCGACCTCTACTTCAGTGGACACCCGCTGCCAAAGGTGCGACATGCATCCCTAAACCCTATAAAGCCTATAAACCCCATAAACCCTGTAAACCCTGTAAACCCTGGAAACCCTATAAACCCTATAAACCCTTTAAACCCTATAAACCCTAAATCCTCTAAACCCTTTCGGAAACCCCCCATCTGTTCTTCGGATTGTTTTTTAGGCGGGGGAGAATGTCTCCGTGGACTCAGTCTGGCGGCTTGACAACGAGCAGGCCACGGGTTTAACTCGTCGGTGGGCCAGTTGGCAGCTAGCAGGGGTTTAGGGTTGACGTAGTAGGTTTAGGGTTTAGAGTTTAACTAGGGTTTAGGGTTTAGGGTTTAGAGTTTAGGGTTTAGGGTTTAGGGTTTATGCGGTGCGGGCCTCAGTGGGTGGTGGGTTTGAGGGGACTCCGGACAGGCTTCAGAGGTCCGTGTTAAAAAGGGTTTATGGGGTAATTATCACTTGGCACTCGTGAGGTCGTCACCGGGGACACCTTCAACCCCTCAGAGATCTACACCACCGCAAACACTGGACAGCCAGATTCCAAGGCCCTGGTCGGTTACGAGTTGAGAGCATTCCACCTCCATCTATGGCTCGGGGTAGAGCTCGCCGTAAAACCCTTGAAGCCCCCTAAACCCTACCTGTTCGAGGTGTGAGGGCCGAAGCCCCATCTCTAAGCGCGACGTGCAGTTCATTCCCTAAACCCTAAACCCCCCTAAACCCTAAACCCTAAAAACTACAAACCCTAAACCCTAAACACCCCAAAAACCCTAATTGGGAGGTGTACCAACTCTCTGGCCTCGCCGTGGACTCCTTCTACATCTTCTGGGGAAACCAGGCCTGTCAGACCTTCTGAGCATTGGATTAGGGTTTAGGGTGTAGGGTTATAGGGTTTAGGGTTTAGGGGGTTTAGGGGGTTTAGGGTGTAGGGTTTAGGGGTTTAGGGTTTAGGGGGTTTAGGGGGTTAGGGTTTTAGGGTTTTAGGGTTTAGGGCAAGCAAGATAAGAAGACAACACACTAGTACTGAGACTGTGCTCCCGACACTTCCGCATGTTGCCGAGCGCCAGGCCGGAGGCAAACAGCATGGAGCAGTCAACAAAGGAACGCGCTCCAATATCGGCCTTGCGTCACAGGACAGGTGGAGCCGATGCTGAAAGCAGGCAGCATGAACATGCCAAGGCTGAAGCAAGGGGGGGTTTGGGGTTTAGGGTTTAGGGTTTAGGGTTTCGGGCTGCCCTTTGCAGGACATGTTCGTGACAACGCTTGCAGATGCTGTGGAGGAAGCTGCTCCGCCAAACATGTTGCGACTATGATCTTTATCGGCACTTGCATGTGTTGCATTGCGGCCTTTGTTCTGCAGAGGGTCCATTTGCAGAACTATTCTGGACTTGGGTACCCCAGAACCCTATTCAGTATGGTTTTGGGGTACCTAATTCCATAATAGTACTACAAATGGACCCGCTGGGTTCATAGCATCCCAGGTTCGAGGCATCACCACGTCCGGCACGGAAGTCTTCTGGGTGTCGCCGGACGGAGTTTTTGGACAGAGCAAGACGACGACAAGCAAGGCCCGCGGACGGCAAACTAAATCCAAAGCAGAATGCTATGCATGGCTTAGAAACCTTTACTTGAACCAAACCCCAAACCCCAAACCACACAAACCCCAAACCCCAAACCCTAAACCCTAAACCCCAAACCCCAAACCGAAAAAACCCTAAACCCAGTGTATTCCTAAGAACTCCAGCTTCGTAGAGGGCAGGTCGGCCTCAACCTCTAGTGGGTTTTAGGGTTTAGGGTTTAGGGTTTAGGGTTTAGGGTTTAGGGTTTAGGGTTTAGGGTTTAGGGTTTAGGGTTTAGGGTAGGCCCCTTGCAAGTGCCCCAGCCGAAGCCCCACGAATCGCGCACTCGAATCCCTACCCTTAAGAACCCAAAAGCCTACTTTCTTGTAGGTTACCTGAGAATCCGATAAGGATTTTACAATTAGAAAGAACCTGCCAAAACAGTAGGCTGTTGGTTCTCAAAGAAAACTTTGCACCGTTTTTTAAGAATCGACTGGCGTCATGCCCTAGACCTCAAAACCTCTCAACTCCCTGGCAGGTGGCAAAAACCCTCACGGCGGCAAGAAATCTACAAAATAGTATAGTAGTAGTTTCGTGGAATAGCATAATCATATGGAAGTAATTTAATTGTAAGTAGTATAGCAGAGCAGCAGAATCATGTAATAATGCTCTACTCCCAAAAACCCTGGCAGGTCTCGGACCCGACTGTTGGCTTGATATCTGCGCCAAGTACGGCACAGTGGCAGCCTGCCAGCAAGGAGTTGGCCACGGACGTCCCTTGTAGTTTCAGAAATTAGTAAGGGGTGGGATTTCTGGAGGTGCGTTTGCTCGGTGTTTGTTCGTGTATTCGTTGCCTGTGCTGCTTTCCGACATGAATGTAAGCCAGCCAATGGGGCGTCGGAAAGAGAGACAAGAAAGCAATCAAAAAGCATCAGGCAGACAAGCAAGCAAGCATCACTCAGGTCTACTCTATAAGAAAAGCAAAGCCAGAGCAAAACCGTTACCCAATGATAGGGCCAAACCCAATTTGATGCTTCGAGCATCTAAAATCTAGAATGGTGAACTTGCATGTGGACATGAATTAATTGAGAGTTGGAGCTTCAAAAACACCTACGCATGCTACCATTTGGAGCCTTGCGAACCTGCGCTATTTATATCTTTTGAAGCTTCACACTAAATGACACTAAATGAAAAAGTACAAACTTCAACGGGAAACAAGTTCGGAGAACCATCGCTTGGGATGTGATGTGTCAGCAAGCCCCCCTGCACATGCAGCTCAGGAATCCCATGAGCATCGCTTGGGACGGCACGCGCTCTCGGTAAAAGCGGCATGCACTGATGCACTTGTTGGTCGTTGTGTCGGATGTGTTGCGCAGTGGAAAGGTGCAACAGAACTTTATCTGACGGACGTATCTGCTGGCGTGACGCGGCAGCATAGACAGAGAGTGAGAATGAGAGGGAGAGGTCCTGCAAACGTTGGCTAAGCACTTCCTGTCGTCACCGCGTGTGACTCATGCGCTTTGTGCTGCAGCTGCAAGTTTGCGCAAAGCAAGGCTATCTACACGGTTCCGTCATTGATCTCTTCGTCACAGTCACTGAGCAAATTCGCTGATGCACCAGACTGCCATGGACTTGCTGCACCATCCTCAGTCGCCTGCTGGTTTTCACCTGCCTCTTGTGTGAAATCACTTTGCCATTGTTGTTCCTGCCGTGTTCCTGCTAAGATTCTATTGAGCGCGAAAGGCCTGCCCATGCCCTGCCCCAGAAGTCCTTGTTTGATGCTTTCACTGACTTGGGTTATGGATTGGGATGTTCCCCCTTATACTAACAGTCCTGAATTGGGATTATGGTACGCCCTTGTATAATCCCTGTTAAGGACTCTTCGTCTAAGGGGGAACATCCCAAGCCATGGATATGTTCAGACGCTTGTCTTTGCATGCCAGGATCCTGATGCAGCGGAGTTCGCAGCGTAATGCTGCTAAAGAAACATTGTGCCCGACAAGCGCCGCTGTCCTGCAGCTCGAAAAGTGCATGCTTGACCGCGCGCGCGAACACACCACAAGCGGCACTGGGAGTTCAGATGCCGTGTGCTGAGCTGTGTAAGCTTAAACAATCCACTGCAGCAATTGGGGCTCATTCAGCCAAACCCACTGGCGGGCCATCGAGAGGCAGAAATCAGGACGTCACTACAAGAAGACAAGCCGAGCTTGCACAAGTCGGGACAATTGATTGCTTTGATTTTGAGGGCCCTGTGGTCCACCTGCATCAGAAGCATGGGTGGCGCAATCAACACCTTGGCCTTTCCTGCTCCCAACTTGCCCCGCCAGTTCTACGAGGACCTCTCTGTGGTCTGACTTGCCTTTCAGAGACTCAGTGAATCTCAGTGATACTGCTGTAGGATCTGAATCTCAGTCATACTAGGAGCCTTACGAAAAATTCCAAAGATATTCCTTAACTTGGTGGCCTTAGAGCCTTCGAATCTCAGGGATCCTTGCGGGCCCCTAAACCCTAAACCCTAAACCCTAAACCCTATAAACCCTATAAATCCGAAACCCTAAACTCCCAAGTACCTCCTGCAGGACGAGCTCAAGAGGCGTCCGGATCTTGTATGGCTGGAAACCACCCACCAGGAGGGACCTGCAGGGGCAGAGTGCACGCCAGCTGAACCTCCGGGTTTAGGGTTTAGGGTTTGGGGTTTAGGGTTTAGGGTTTAGGGTTTAGGGTTTAGGGTTTAGGGTTTCTGGTTCATACACCCTACTTGGGATTGCAGTAGTATCGGGTATATGACCCCGCATTTTAGGGTTCACCTGGTCCCCAAGCAAGCTGAACCACGAACCCAAGCCCCAAGTGCAGCCCTCGCCAGGAGCGAATCCCAGCTTGCCACGTCAAGGGAGGTTCCTCCGGCAAGCAGGGCCCTCACATGGGCGGTTTCCTAGATTTTTAAATAATATCTAATTTTTATAGTATGATTAATAAATTAAATCTTCAAAATAATAGAAAACTTTTAACTATTTGATATTCTACGCACAATGACCCGTATACTTCCGGCGTTGATCGGGTTTAGTTGGGGTTTTGCGCTGGCTCCGTATTTGCTTAGTACAGCCCTCATCTGCGCTCATGGTGCTTGCAAGGATCCGGTTGATTAGAAGGCTCTGTCATACCCTAAACCCTAGTAACCTAAGCCCGAAACCCTGTAAACCCTAAATCCTGAACCCTAAACCCTAAACCCTATAAGCCCTAGAAACCCTATAAACCCTATAAACGCCATAAACCCTATAAACCCTATAAACCCTAAACCCTAAACCCTCAACCCTATAAGCCCTAAACCCCAAACCCTAGTACCCTAAGATCCTTCACCCAGGACTCTCCTTTACAGCCACGGCAATGCAGAGGCCTGGGACTTCCTGTAGCCACGTCCTCGAGCGCGGATCCCTATAGATCCTAAACTTCCTAAACCGCTGCAAACTGCGGCGGGTGGTTTCGGGTTTAGGGTTTAGGGTTTCCGGGTTCAAAAGGGTTTAGGGAGGGTTTAGGGTTTAATAGGGGTTTAGGGTTTAGGGTTTAGGGTTCCGGGTTTAGGTTTAGGGTTTAGGGCAAATAGAAATGGTGCTGTGCATTGAGAGCCGGACCTTCCATCCACGGCCGACTGCGCAAGCCCGGATGCAAAAGGGCAAATAAACACCCTCAGGCCCAAAATTGTGTCTGAGCCCCTATAACCCCTCCTAACCCAGCCCACCCTAGAACCCCAAACCCTAAATCCCCCGCGGATGGCCAAAAAACCCTAAACCCTAGACCTCCCACCTCCCCACCTCCCCTCCAAAAAAAAACCCTAAACCCTAAAAACAAAAAAGAAAAAAAAAAAAAACAGAAACAAAAAAGGGAAAAAAGTCAAAAAAAAAAAAAAAGCATTGGAGGACCTGGGACTCCATCTCGAATACATTGACTCGCTGGCCCACTACACCGGCGCCTTGGGGACCAAAGGAACCCTAAGAATTAGGGTTTAGGGTTTAGGGTTTAGGGTTTAGGGTTTAGGGTCACATGGGGGGTTGCCGAAATTCGGGGGTACCTTTTTGGGGTCTCCTGTTCATAAGGGAATCCTACTATTTGAGGGTCTATCTTCGACCTTATGTTCATAAACCTCCATGCAGCCTGTACTACTATCATATCTAATTATAGGGATATATATATATATATATATATATACATATGTGGACCCGTGAGCCCGTTTAGGGAATCACCCTCAGCGGGTCATGGTCGCCAGTACTACTATCATCCCTATGAAGTAGTATTAGCCCTATAAGCCCTGTTTCTGGGGTTAGGGGCGTAGGAAGTAGTACCCTATAAGCCCTGTTTATGGGGTTAGGGGCCTAGGAAGTAGTACCATATAAGCCCTGTTTATGGGGTTAGGGGCCTAGGGCCTTAGGGCTTGGGTCCTTTGAAGGTGCGGATGTCTTCAGCTACGAGTACGTGGGCTACTCTCTCTCGAAGCTTCAAGGTGCTCAACCCTCGGAGGCTCCTCGAATGTTTTCTAGGGTTTAGGGTTTAGGGTTTAGGGTTTAGGGTTTAGGGTTTAGGGTTTAGGGTTTAGGGTTTAGGGTTTAGGGTTGGCTGTAATGTAGCGCGATGCTGTGAAGGGTAGGGTGCAGAAGAGGCTCGACGGCTTCGTTCGGTGCAAAGAGCAGCTCTGGCCCGATTGTGGAGGGCCATCTAACTCCTTTCTCCTACCCCAGGCCGTCCAAGGCGGCAAAGCCACCCAAACCTATTCCCTTTAGAGTTTAGGCTTAAACTCAACCCTAAACCCTAACCCTAAACCCTAAACCCTAAATCCTAAGTCTTGTGCTTGGCCCTCGGCAGTTTTACCTCCAGCTTCGGTATGTTGGCCCCAGCAGAGCTTGGCCCCAGTACCCGGCAGTCTGATGCAAAAGGCCTAAGCTCAGACATTTGCCCTTCAAACAAGATTTTGTTTTTTTATTCTTTCTTTTTCCCCACCCTCGGTGTGGGGATGTTAGATTTTAAACTCAACTCTTCTCCTCGCCCGGAACTCTTCTCCTCGCCCGCTCTACTCCCTCGCTCATCCCTGGAGTGCCCAGCCCCAAAATGTCCCTGGAGTGCCCGACTCTAGAGTGTCCCTGGTGTCCCGCCCCAGTGTCTGACTGGAGTGCCCAACCTCAGAGTCTGCATGGACTGCCCAACCCCACAGTGTCCCCGAATTGCCCACCACATTCTTCCTGGAGTGCCCAACCCCAGAGTGTCCCCGAAGTGACCAGCCCCAGAGTCTGGGAGTGCCAATTCTTAGAGGTTCAGAGTCTCCCTAAAGTGCCCAACCCCAGAGTCTCCCTGGAGTGCTCAACCCCAGAATGGCCCTGGAGTGCCCAACCGCAGAGTATCTCTACCAAGAGAGGGTGGGGATGTTCGAAGTAGAATAATTGGGCTTTTTGTGTCGTTACATGATTGTGGTTGCGGGCTTTTGTTATTGCCGCTATGAGTATTGATATATATATATATATATACACACATATTTGTTTGTATTTCTATCTGTATCTCCATGCTGCTATGTCAATATTCTTGTATCATGATTTCCTTAGTCGTTACTTAGGGCTTGAGGGTGTTGAGGGCAGGAGCTTTGTCGGTCTAGGGTCTAGGGACTTAGGATTTAGGTACGTCAGCTCAGGGTATTTTCCCGGCGATGGGCAGAAGTCCAGACCCACCCCAGAACCTAAACCCAAAAGCAGAAAGGGCTTAGGGTTTAGGCATGTTTAGGCTTTAGGGAAGGTGCTAAGAAGCTACTTGTGGGAGTGTTAGGAGGCGTGGGGCACCTTGCGGGCGAAGATCCATCGCTTGAGGGGCAGGATACTTGCGTCCATAAGGTTGAGGCTTTTAACATGCGAAAGCTGCGTTTACGTTTGCACGGCATTGTATGGTCTGCACAGAGGCGCGTTTTATACGAACCTTCGTCAGCAGGCAGCTTGCATACGAAGCATCGATGCCGCCTGGCGCTACCTGGTCGACACGTTGCAGATTCCCCCGCAGCAGGCCGGGGGTTTCAGGGTTTACCCCAGACCCTGGAACAGAGACAGAGCGCAACAAAAGAAAGTTCAGGGGTTCTAAGGGCAGAGAGAGAGAGAGAGAGAGAAACAGAGCCAACGAGAAGGAGCGAACACCGGGGGCTTGTGGGGGGGGGAGCATGCATGCATGTGGGCGAAAACGCGAACCCGAGCTCCTTCTCCCCGACAGCGCCAACCAGAGGAACCCCGAATACCGGGGCGGGCGAGGACGCCCGGGGGCTTGCCCCTTGCCCCCAAGAAAGAAAGAAAGAAAGACAGAGCCAACATGGCGCCGGTCCCTTTCGGTGGTATAAGAAGGGGAAGAAGAAGCAGAACAAGAAGAAGCAGAAGAAGAAGGAGAAGAAGAGGAGAGTGTGGCCTCAGCACAGGTTCAACATACAAAGGAGGGTATAGGCGTTGAGGAGGGCAACGCGGCAAGGCAGCCTAATCAAACAAAAGGGTTGAAAAAGCGTACCCTACCCCGGCTTGAAAAATGGTACCCTAAACCCTAGAAACCCTAAAACCCTAAAACCCAAACCCTATAAACCCTATAAACCCTATAAACCCTATAAACCCTTTAAACCCTATAAACCCTGTAAACCCTGTAAACCCTGTAAACCCTGTAAACCCTGTAAACCCTGTAAGCCCTAAACCCGATGTCAGGGTGAAGAACGACCCCCCCTCCTCAATCCCTCTGCAGATCATCATCTTCGGGAGATCCATCGGCTCTGGCCCCTCCGTGGATCTCGCGTGCGGGGCCCCATTTCTCTTCTGCCTGAGGGTTTAGGGTTTAGGGTTTAGGGTTTAGGGTTTAGGGTTTAGGGTTTAGGGTTTAGGTTTAGGGTTTGGGGGTCCTTGCACGGGTGGAAGTAGGGTTTCCCTTGAATGCCCTAATTGTCCTTCCTTTTTTGTGGTGCTTCATCTGAACTTCATCTTGTCATTAGACCGCGTTAAGATAATTATGAGGACCCCCCCCCCCCCCCCCCCCCCCCCCCCCCCCCCCCCCCCCGCCAAAAAAAGAGAAGAATTAAAAATGAATATAAAGTGGAACCACAATCAAGAGTCCGGGTATTCAGGTCTCGAAGAGAGGTGGACATCTCCCGACACTCGCCTTTGAACGTGGCTGGCGTGTGCGGCTAAGTTGTGCAGAAGCCGCAGCCATCGATTTCACGGACCATGCCCACAGTAAGTCCCACTCCTGCGCAGGTTATTCTACAGTCCCCACTGGAAAGTGGTGCCAGAGCTGTGCTTGGGCACTTCACCTCCTTCGTGGGCTACCACCTCGACATATTCAGGAGCATTTTGCATTGTGACTGCTCCGGCTTGCTGCAGGCAGACGTGGTACAGATGTGGTACCATTGCGCGTGCCAGGAACTATGAAAAAATTGACAAGATCACCTCGCCCGTTGCCATTATGTCTATGCCCTGGAAGATGTAGTGGTTCCTCTGGTCATAAAGCGCACATATTTTGGTGTTGATTGTGGTGTCTACAGGCATGGCACCAATGATGAAGTCGTGCCCTACGCCAATGGTGAGGCATGTTGGGCAGGGTGGCGGTTTGAGCAGCCACATGCTATAAGGGAGGGCGGTAACCAGGCAGGTTATTTGCAGCACAGAACTCTGACACCTGTTTCTGGGCAAGCTGCATAACTTGGCATGTTGCCCCTTATACTAACAGTCCTTAATAGGGATGATTATAGGGGGTACTAGAATCCCTATTGAGGACTGTTAGCATAAGGGGCAACATCCCAATGCAGATTCCCCTAAACCCTAAATCCTAATTCCTAAACCCCAGACCCTAAACCCTAAACCCTAAACCATGACCCGCAAAGGCCCTCTACAAGAAGCTGCTCAATCCGTTTCCGCCGCTTTGGATCGATGGGCATGGGCACAACGACATGCCACAGGCTTCTGGGTGTAGGGTGGTGTAGGGTTTACGGTGTAGGGTTTAGGGTTTAGGGTTCAAGGTGCTTTGTGTTCCATTCCGTGCTGCAAACGGTGCCGCAGCATGCTCATTGCCAAAGCACACTGCGATGATGTCTTGTCCAGGCGCGATGCTTCACGTACGTGAAGGAGTTCATCCGACACCTGAACAAGGGGAGGACCTAATTCATCATGTAGTGGAAACACTCACTCGACACACTGGCAAAAGCGTTGTGTGTTGGAAGTCCGCGGCATCTTGCAGAAGGCCTTTTTGCATAGGAACTTGGCATGAGTACGCAAAGCACACGAGGTAAAATGAGACGTCCGTGGCATGGTCAGTTCACCAAAGCAGCATTGACAATTGATCAGCATGCCTGACTGAAGTTCTGCAACTGCCCTTGTGTTTGAGAGGCCGTTGAGCTCCAAACAACTACCGGAAAACAGCCGTAGCCTCTAGCGGCAGCAAAGAGCTGTTCGAGTAGGCGCTAAGAGTGGGCCATGTTGTCCAAATTCAGAGGATCCCAGCTTCGGCTGTTGGCCAGAAGATTCCAGCCAGGTGTCGGGATCCAAGAGGCGGATCCTGCCATCAGCCTCAGGACGCGAGCAACTCGACTTAGGGTTTAGGGTTTAGGGTTTAGGGTTTAGGGTTTAGGGTTTAGGGTTTAGGGTTTAGGGTTTAGGGTTTAGGGTTTATGATGTGTTCCAATCCGGCTTGGCCACGTGCAAGAGGATTCTGATAGTTACATGTTCTTATTTGGGTGGTTGTTGCTGCGTGCCATTGCGTTTCATTCTTATTCTTGTCGTGTTTTTTCTGCAGTCCCCTAATTGCATCATATTCCCGGAAAAGAGCCCTAAACCCTAAGCCCCAAACCCTAAACCCTAAACCCTAAACCCTAAACCCTAAACCCTAAACCTTTCTTGTGAACAGTTGAGGCAAGACCTGGTCGTTTGGGACGCTCCTTTGTCGGCCGGCGATGCTTCTCTGGGGAGGGCAACTTGGTAGCCCAGTGGTACCCCTTTCCCTTTTTTTGGTTTTAGGGGGTTTAGGCTTGGGGTTTAGGGTTTAGGGTTTAGGGTTTAGGGTTTAGGGTTTAGGGTTTAGGGTTTAGGGTTTAGGGTTTAGGGTTTAAGGTTCCTTTCTGGCAGTCACCAAGTCCCAGTTGCAAGAAGGGTTTAGGGTTTAGGGTTTAAAGTACCAAGGCAAGCCGCCAAAGGGCTTTGAGCAGTTCTACAAGAACAACAAGAGTAAGCCCAAGGAGAGCCAGACGGCGGAGTCCAGCAAGTCTGAGGCACCGAAGGAAACGCCCAAGGAGACACCCAAGGAGTCTAAAGAGGCGGAGTCAGGTCACCAAAGCCAGTCAAAGGACAGCAGCAAGGGCGGCAAAGGGTCAGAGAAAGACCCAAAGATGCCCTCCGGCGGCCCGGCTGATTCGCAGCGGCAGATCGTAGTTTTTTCGCTGGCCGCTGGACTCCTCGCCATGTACTATGCCTCCCAGGGCTCATCCAGCGAGAATGAGATCACCATCCAGGAGATGCTCCGGGACTACCTCCTCAAGGGCCATGTGGAAAGGCTCCAGATCGTCAACAAGTCCTTCTGCCGCGTTCACCTTCGCCCCGACGCGCCCACGGGCGAGAATGAGCCCAGGCGGCCCGGGCCCAAGACCATGACCATCCAGCTCGGGAGCCCTGACACCTTCGAGGCGAAGCTGGAGCAAGCGCAGAATGACCTGGGAATCGCTCCCATGGAGCATGTGCCTATCCAGTACATCGATGAGAGTGACCTCATGTCCGAGATCCTTCCTCACATCCCCACCCTCCTCTTCCTCATTCCCCTCTTGTTCCTGGGCCATTGTTGAAACTATCATTTTACATCTTTATCAATACTTTTAACCCGATGAGGAGCAAAAAGGTCATTTTTTAAGTAGTAACCCTAAACCCTAAACCCTAAACCCTAAACCCTAAACCCTGCCTCAAGAGTCGTGCAGGTTCGCAGCCAGGTTTATGGCCAATGGTATGGGCCCCGGCACCCCGGGGGTTGGTGGCCCAGGTGGCCGCAACATCTTTAGCATCGGAAGCTCGGATGCCCAGTTAGGGTTTAGGGTTTAGGGTTTAGGACTTAGGGTTTAGGACTTAGGTTTTTTGGGGGGGGTTTTGGGATCCCTTCTAAGGCCCTTCAAGCAAGAAGAAAAAAAAGGGAGGGGGCACCCTTTTTGTCAAAATCCGAGAGGTTATCCTGGGGGGCAACCTAGGAAAGGCCTTCCCTGCTGGGCAGAAGGACTTGAAGTCCAAGGTCAAGTTTGCAGACGTTGCTGGCCTTGACCAGGCCAAGGCGGAGGTGGTGGAGTTCGTGGATTTCCTTCGTTCCCCCACAAAGTACCTGTGGCACCCTTGGGAATTATTTTTCTGTCTTTCTTCATATAAAGACCCCTAAGAGGATATTTAAAAAATGTATTATTCTTATTAAGGTTCTAAGGGGAGAAAAAGGTACGAGCAGCTGGGTGCTCGGGTTCCCAAGGGCGGCTTGCTGGTCGGCCCGCCTGGCACAGGCAAGACCTTGCTTGCGAAAGCTGTCGCAGGTGAGGCGGACTGTCCCTTCTTCTCGATGAGCGGCTCTGACTTCATCGAGATGTTTGTCGGGGTCGGCCCGTCCAGAGTTCGAGACTTGTTCCAACAAGCGCGCGCCAATTCCCCGTCGATCATCTTCATCGACGAGATTGATGCGGTCGGGCGTCGGCGTGGCAAGGGCGGCTTCAGCGGCGGCAACGATGAGCGGGAGAACACGCTCAACCAAATGTTAGTGGAGATGGACGGGTTTGTTTCAGGCACCGGGGTGGTCGTCCTTGCAGGTGCCTAGGCATGCACTTTCCCGATTGGTTCGAAGAGGATCTTAATCAGGACCATTGCAAAGTGTTGTTTACGGAATGTGTGCTGTTTCCTTATTTGGTCCTAAGAGGACTGTTGAAAGTAGTGGGCCAAACCGAGGTACGAATCGGGTAGACATCCTTGACCCGGCTCTGACACGACCTGGACGGTTTGATCGGCAAATCGCGACTCGACCAACTATAGGCCGATATTTCAGAGACTCTATGTACATATATATATATATACAGATCAACTACTACATGGTTTAATTGGTTAGAGATTTAGCATATAGTAGAATACATACTTTGTTTGTATATATATATATATGTATGTATATACGTACGTACAGACATACAGACATGCAGACATACAGACATACAGACATACAGACACGCACATGCATACATATGTATACGTGCATGCATACATACATATGTTGGTATAATGCATATATGATACCACATATGCCCCTACATGTACAGGAAGAGAGACATATGGCTTTGCAACTAAGCGTGCCAAGTCGGGCAGTTCTTTTGATTGTTGGGTCCTTTGTCGGGCTAGAGAGCTTGCGAGTCGTTTTTGTTGGTGCCTCAGCCGTCAGATAGCAACATAGTTCCCAAGCCTCAGGCCATTGACAAGCCGGACTTGGCGGAGAGGGAGAAGATCTTCATGGTCCACTTGAAGCCCGTGACCTTGCACAAGCAGCTGTCTGCTGAAGAGGTGGCCAAGAGGATGGCATCCTTGACGCCGGGCTTTGCTGGGGCAGCTTGGCAGTGTAGTGTAGGTATAAACCCTAAACCCTACACCCTAAACCCTAAACCCTAAACCCTAAACCCTAAACCCTAAACCCTAAACCCTAAACCCTAACCCTTTTTTAGGGGGTAGTTTGTTTCCTGTTAGATCCCCTAAGCCCTACGATACTGGACAATTCTAAGGCAGACATTGCCAACATCTGCAACGAGGCGGCCATTTTCGCCGCAAGGCGGACGGCAGAGTCAGTGGAGATGCAGGATTTTGAGCGGGCCACCGAGCGAGTTCCTTGCAACGACGGATGACGAGCCCTGAAAGGGTCTAGGGTTGAGGGTGGTTCCCTACGAAGGTTTATCATGGGTCCATATGCCCTTAATAGGGATCATCATAGTAGTGTAGGGTATATGACCCCCGATCTTCGGGTTCACTTCCTCCCCAAGGTTCTTGGCGGTCTACCCAAGCAAAACAGCTTGATGAGCCCGGCGGAGAAGCGGACCGTGGCGTTGCACGAGTCTGGGCATGCGGTGGCGGGATGGTTCCTGGAGCATGCAGATCCCCTCCTCAAGGTGGGGGGAGTGTCCGAACTTCAGGGGGTACCTTATTGGGGTTCTTACGATAAGGGAATGCTGTACACCCTAAACTTCCCTAAACCCTAAACCCTAGAGTTCCTGACGAATGCCCCTCGACGTTTGCCAAACTTGTGGAAGCAGAAAAGTATCATTGAGATCTCAACCTTTCCTTTGGATGTCCTGTCGGATCGGCTGGTGAATTGGGATGCCGCCCAGTAGTTCCAATACTGCTGGGGGATGGTCCCGATGATGTGCTGGTTCACTGTGCCGTCGCGCTCAGTTGCTCAGACTCAGAGATAGCGCCGAGTAAACCCTAAACCCTAAACCCTAAACCCTAAACCCTAAACCCTTTCGTAGGTGTCCATCGTGCCGCGGAGTAGTGGTGCCCTGGGCTTCGCGCAGTACCTACCTGCCGAGATGAGCCTCTTCAGCAAGGACCCCCTGGCTCTTAGGGTTTAGGGTTTAGGGTTTAGGGTTAGGGTTTAGGGTTTAGGGTTTAGGGTTTAGGGTTTAGGATTGCAAGGACTGCCTGGTTCTTAGCAAGGAGTGAGGGGAATTCTAGGGCCCTATATACTATACCCTTTAAGGGATTCTATAGGGCCTATATAGTATACCCTTTAAGGGACGATATAGGGCCCTATAATACCCTTTAAGGGATTCTATAGGGTACCCTGGCTCCCTCCTTGAAACCGGCAGGAGGCCATTCTGGACAAGATTGCCGTGGCCCTCGGGGGCCGGGCAGCAGAAGAGCTCTTTGTGAAGAAGATCTCCACTGGAGCCTCCGATGATCTCGACAAGGTGACGAAGAACCCTAAACCCTAAACCCTACACCCTACACCCTACACCCTACACCCTAAACCCTAAACCCTAAACCCTGAACCCTCAACCCTAAACCCTAAACCCTACCAGGTGACGAAGATGGCCTACTCCATGGTGGCAGTCTACGGGATGAACTCTGAGCTGGGTTTGCTCCTCGATAGGCCCTTAAAGGATACTGTGATAACTTCCCCTAGGGTTTAGGGTTTAGGGTTTCGGGTTTAGGGTTTAGGGTGGGGTAAATCTCAGGATCATATGTAGGGATATGTTTCCCTTAATTATCCCTTATTTTGGGGTAAAAGAGGATCATATATCAGGAATATGTTTCCCTTATTGGGTTTAAGAGAATCATAACTCAGGATGTTTTTCCGGAGGGTTTTAAAAAGGGCAATCCGAGGCTTTCATACGGCCAGAACAATGCCTCCGAGCAATTCTACAAGCCGTACAGCGAAGAGACGGGCCGGAAGATTGATGAGCAGACACGGAGCATTGTCGACGAGCAGTACAAGAGGGTGAAGGAGCTGGTTTAGGGTTTAGGGTTTAAGGTTTAGAGTTGCATAATCTTGGCATGTTTTTGTGTGTGTTCCTGCGGGTCTCAGCGGAGATTGCTGGTTTGAGTGTCTTGTACTGCTCGGAAGGGAGAGTGCAGTGAACTATATCTGCACATGTACCCTGGGTGGTCTCTGGCGATTGCACAAGCCCAATTGAACAAAAGGGTTTAGAGTTTAGGGTTTAGGGTTTAGGGTGAAGGAGCTGCTGCAAGAGCAGAGCGACAAGCTGCAGCAGCTCGCGGACAGGCTCGCCGAGAAGGCTGGTGGGGTCAGGTGCTGTCCAGTTTGCCGACCGGCCGTCCACTTGTCTCACGATGAAGAAACCAAGCTCGCCTTGCAAGGAGACTCTCGTTTATCACGACCTCGTGGAGGCCACCGGAAATTCTTTGAAGAAGCTTCCTTCAACCCCATCCTGCGTTGTGTAAAAGGGCTCCTGCATTCCTAGCGCGACTCCTGCACTCGTACAAGCCCACAGGTACTGGGAGAGCGACCTTTCTCCATAAAGGAGGAGCTCAACAAGTTTGTCACTGCCGGCGGGAATCCGTTCACGCATGACATGGGCTCACCGAACGACGGCGAGAACGACAAAGGCGACACGGACGGCCAAGAAAGCAAGGAGGAGGAGTCGGCTTCTCAGGCGCAGAGTACAGGAACGGAGGCCAAGGCGCCACAGGCCCAGGCCTAAATATCTTAACGCCCTGAGAGCCATCCTGCTTTTGCACGCGTTAACATAAAACTGCGGTCTGGACTGACGAAAGCCATCCGCGCAGAAGAGTCGTCCTCAGTGTACACAGGCATAAGACCTAGGGCTTGAACCTGCCACAAGTTTTCGCCGCCTGCCTCCCCATAAGATTGGGCTGGCTGTGCCCACTCGGAACTTTTAATGCGCCAAACTCTTCGTTTGTAGATAGTGTCGCTTTGGGTCGGTTTTCATTCAGAGGATGCACAGTGATCTGCTCTGAAGTGCGCTTCGATAAACAAGGGGGGTCTCTTGTCTGTGCAGTCTCTGCGCGCATCGTGCAAGCGCCTTTTTTTTTTCGAAAGCCCCACCGTAGCCATGGGCTCCATCGCAAGTCGTCTACAAACGCAGCAGACATGCAGCCATCGAGTCTCCATGAAGAAAGAAATCACAAGTCAACGTCTGAACATGCCCAAGCCCTCCGCCCGCGCACTGCTTGTGCTGGCAGGCGCTGCAGTTTACGGTTTAGGGTTTGGGGTTTAACTTCAAGTCGCTTGCTGACGTTCTTGCAACTGTCATCGTGCCAGCTGACGTACAGAGTCTGGGTCCCAAAAAGGGTTTAGGGCTTAGCGGAACATTGTGTCTGTCGGCTGTTGCCCAAGGGGCGCAGCCATGGCTGCCATTGCCAACATGTCAGACCGATTTGCCCAGGAACTTCCCTTCTTGAGCCCAATACCCCTTAATAAAGGAATATACCTGAAGTCATATAAGTCATATTAAGGATCCCTACATAAATTGAGGTATATTCCTTAATTACCCCTCTCTGGGTTCCCTGCTGGACAGGCTTATGCGGCGGCCTCTCAACCGGTTTTCTCAATGGGCTGCGAACGCCAGGCACAGCTCAGGCTATTCTAATTGCCGAGCCAGGCTTGTCCAAACCCTAAACCCTAAACCCTAAACCTTAAACCCCCCGAAAAAAGGTCGAGTGGGAAGCCGAGTTGCGCGGCCAGCTGAGGCGGGCTTCAAGCTGGACTCCGCCCTACCCTGAACATTCTAGGGCTTTACCCTAAGGGTTTAGGGTTTAGGGTTTAGGGTTTAGGGTTTATACTTGGGCCCGACAGTCTGAGGTCCAAGTATGGCCCATTTAGGTACATGGAACCTTATAAATTAGGGTCTTGCCCTAAACCCCAAACTCTTAGGGTACTCGAAGCCCTCTATGGGGGGTTTCCGAAAATAGGGGTACCCTTTTGGGGGTTCCTAAAATAAGGATTACACCATTTTGGGGTGTAGTCCGGGTGCCTAAACCCTAAACCCTAAACCCTAAACCCTGAACCCTGAACCCTGAACCCTGAACCCTAAACCCTAAACCCTAAACCCTATTTTTTGGAAATGCCCATATCAACCGGCCTGACATGGAGTGGAAGGCAGCTTCTTCTGGGCCAAAGGCTGGCCCCGCTACATCTTGATCTTGGGCTTCTTAAAATTGTGGGCTTCCTTCTTGAACTGAGTTTAGGGTTTAGGGTTTAGGGTTCAGGGTTCAGGGTTTAGGGTTTAGGGTTTAGGGATTAGAGTTCCTCAAAAGAGTTCCGGTCCAGGTTGGTAGGAATCTTGTTCTTGTTCCAGTCTATGCGAAGTGGACCCAAATTTCGATGAATCCCGAATGTATCAGTGTGGCATCCTGATCGGAAAGCATACCCGCTGTATGGACAGCGCGCAGGTTCAGGTATCAGTCTTCAGCGACCTCGCCTGACCCTGGTGCTACGTAGGCTGCTGCAGTTTGGACAAAAGATGCCCAGAAATCTTCCCAACCATACATCCTTCCTTGATGTCAGGAATGAAAAGCTTGGATGCAGCTGTTGAAAAGTTTGGAGCTGATCGCGTGGAGGCCGCTACCTGACAATGCGGTTTAGGGTTTAGGGTTTAGGGTTCAGGGTTTCTTGAGGTGCAGGTGGAGGGACTGATTGAAATTTGTGAGTCCTGATCGGCATAAAAGGGTTTATGGGGCTTGTGGGGCTTATGGGCTTATTTTCAGTTGATGAGGTTTGCAAGGGCTTATAGTTTTTAGGGTAGAGGACCCTTATAGAGGGGATATCTACGAGTACATGGGAGACAACAGCAAGGGCCCTACAAATGTGGCACAACTTCTCCCAACGTGCGGGCCCGAATTCCTGAGTCGCCGGGCTGGCTCCCCCTAAACCCTAAACCCTAAACCCTAAACCCTAAACCCCAAACCCCAAACCCCAAACCCCAAACCCCAAACCCTAAACCCTAAACCCTAAACCCTAAACCCTAAACCCTAAACCCTAAACCCTAGCCCTAAACCCTAAACCCCCAAACGATGTCCTTGGGAGGTGTCCTGGCTTCCCTACATTATCGACCCCGGCACTGCGGCAGGAGGAGCATCATTCTGCGAATCTCGTGGTGATTTCCCAGAAGGTCCCAGAAAAGCCGTTCTGAAGAAGGAACACGTGGTCATGTCGGCGTATACTCCCTGAATCAAAGAGTTCTTGGGGGTTTCTTTGAGTGGAGGGCTTGAGGGGGCGTGTGCTGGACACCATTGCTCAGGAATCTTCTTTAAGCCCTATAGTCGGTACTTAATTAATAGTGTCATTCCAGAGATATCCTGTACGTTCTGCTAGGGCGCCCAAGCGGGATTTCAGGGAAAAGTGCTCTGGCCACTCTTGAGGAGAGGAGTACCTCGCCTACAACAAGCGGCGTTGGGGCAGTGATGCCTGGACGCGCTCCTTGCGCCAGCAAGGCGAAAAGGTGGGGGCACGTTCACAGGGTTTAGGGTTGAGGGTTTAGGGTTTGAGGTTTAGGGTTTAGGGTGTAGAATTAGGGTCCTCAAGCAGTATAGGCCTCTAGTCACCTTAGGTCATACTGAAGTCCCCACGTCTGCTTACGTGCAGCCTTCCTAGACCGGGATTTTGGGGCCCCCTAAACCCTAAACCCTTGTACACTAAACCCTAAAAAGGGGCCTTTTTAAGGGATTATAGGGTAGAATAGCCCATCCTGGTAAACAGGGATTTTGGGGCCCCTAAACGCTAAACCCTAAACCCTAAACCCTCTGTGGATGCCGAGCGCAGGTTGGTGCGCCGTTTAGGCAATGGAAGTGGTGGCCCAACACCCTGAAGGCGCGAGGGGTTTAGGGTTTAGGGTTTAGGGTTTAGGGTTTAGAGTTTAGAGTTTAGGAAGTTGCATGTCTGCCATTAGTGGTTCAGGGCAGGAGCAGTGTGCATCGTGCAGTGTATGGCTAAAGGCTCCTATCTCGTACCTTCTTAGGGTAGTATACTAGAACCCCCTAGAACTAACCTAAAAAGGAACTACGTTGGAGCCTTCAGCCATTGTGTAGATTTCTACAGGGCACACGCTCGCCTCCACGGCCAACAGAATAAGCCACCTACAGGCACCCGTAGCAGCCTGAAGTATCGAAACATAGAGGGTTTAGGGTTTAGGGTTTAGGGTTTAGGGTTTAGGGTTTAGGGTTTAGGGTTTAGGGTTTAGGGTTTAGGGTTTAGGGTTTAGGGTTTAGGGTTTAGGGTTTAGGGTTTAGCTTATGAATCAAAGGCGTGGCCCCGAGGTAGGTTCGATCTATCAACACATCGCTTCCTCGTGATGCTGGTGGACATTTTACGCATGCTTGTGTGGCCTCTTGCCCTGATGACCCTCCAAGATTAGGCATGCAATTGGTGGTCGGATGCATGGACACCGACTGAGCCACCAATGTCCAAAACAGAGTTCTATAGTTCCAGAGTGTTCGCTATGAAGAGCTCATATAAATACATAAATATGTATATATATATATATATCTATCTATATATATATATATATACACCATTCTTATACCTTTTGATCGTTTCCGTATCGAGCATGCAGTACATGCGGGAGGCACATTGCCTGGTGCTCTTTGCAGAGGAGAAAGGCCCAGAGTTGGGGCAGGGTGCCGAGCTCGGCACGACTTCCCCCCATGATGGTGAGACTGAAGGTATCCGCTCCTCCGACACAAAGGCGGCCTTGTTTCAGGCGCTCTACGAGGAGGGACTGGAGCTCAGCCAACACTCCGACTCTTCTGGCTGGTTCTTAGTAGGGAATGAGGTACCTCTATACTCCAAAGAGTATATATAGGGTCCCTACTAAGTACCAGAGCCTCTTGGCGTGGGCTGCCAGTAGACCCTGCCACCCAGGTGCCAACATTTCAAGTGAGAAGGTCTTGGCAGAGCTGGCTGAGAGCAAGTTGGGAGCGGCCCTCATAGCTGCGCTTGCTTATGTTGTTCTTCTTCACAAGACCCAAAGAGCCCAATATTGCTTAATTAAGCAATATACCTTAAATCATATAGGGGTCCTGAATATGATTTAAGGAATATTCCTTAATTAAGCAATATTGGGCTCTTTGGGGAGCCCAAGACCCACTTCTGGAGGTGTATTCCTTGGTTAGGGGGTCTTGGGCTCTTTGGGCACAGTACTTGAGCTCAGGCCTATCCTCCGACGAGGCAGCGGAGCCAGTTTTCATGGCGAGGTCGAGCTGAATGCTGCCAGCACAAGATGAGGTACTCCGATACCTAAAGTCTGGTGGTGGAGAAGCTGAAGTACTGCAACTCGTGGGATTCTCAAAAATTGCAATGCATCGATGCGGGTGTTGCCGACTTCATGCTTCCATGCGATATCAAGGTTCGCACAGGTCCCGACCTCTCAGCTTCTTGACAGCTGCCGAGTTTTGCCGAAGCATATCAGAGGGCGGCAGCCGTGAGGTCAGCAGACGGTGCAGGGAGGTGTGCCCTTCTTCATCGTTGGAGCAGGTGTCGTTCCTGCGTCCGTCCGCCACCCCAAACGGGGCTGCACGGCGCACGGGGATCGCACAAATCCCCAAAAGAATGGGAAAAAGGGGGAGGGAGGGAGGGAGGGAGAGAGACAGAGAGAGAGAGAGAGAGAACAAAAAAACAAAAACATTTCCTCATATGCTCGCAATATGTGCTCACAAACAGGGAGGTCATCGAGGCTTTCACCTT